AGCGCGCTGCCCGGCCCCTCCGCCCGCACGCGGCTGGCTGGGAAGGTGCAGACCCTGGAGGAGCTCAGGCCCTTGGCTGGGGTGCTCCGGGGGACTCCAGGGAGCTCACGGCGGGCTGCGGCACCTCTGGAGACATCCTGGGTGACCTGATTCGCTTATTTGAAAGCATCCGGAGGGAGACACAGAGCTCTTGCTTCCACTGGTTCACTCCTGGGCAGGGCCAAGGCGAAGCCAGGTGACAGAGACCCAAGCTTCCTTCCAGGTGTACCAGCAGGGAGCTGGGGGGAAAGTGGAGCAGCCTGGACGCCAACTCAGGCTCCAGGGGATGCTGGCACAGCTGGCAGCTCTGCCACTGGCTCTGTGCATCACTTCCTGTTAGGTTCTGCAGAGCTGCCGGGAACACGGGCTTGGCTGGCACTGAGGCCAGCCAAGGAGCAGGGCCGTACAAGACCTTGTCCCAATACGTCCATCCAGCATTGTGGCACCTGAACCTCATGTTTGTGTCCCCCATCCCTCAAGGCCACCGCCCCAGGAGCTGACCGGGACAGCCTGAGCTCTGCCCCCCATACCCTCAAGGCCACCGCCCCAGCCTGAGCTCTGCCCCCCACGCCCTCAAGGCCACCGCCCCAGCCTGAGCTCTGCCCCCCACGCCCTCAAGGCCACCGCCCCAGGCGCTGACCAGGACAGCCTGAGCTCTGCCTGGACAAGTGGCTGCAGGGCCTTGGGGTGACACCCACAGGCCGTAGCTCTTGCTCCCCTCCCCTTCCCGTTACTGTGACTTACAGGGAGCCGTGTGTACTGACACTGCAGGACACGAGGCTTTGGGCACCCTGAGCAGTGGTTGCTGGAGGGTCACAAAAACACCAACTGCTTCGTTTTGTGTTTAATGGTGAGAACACTTTTTAAAAAACTACCCTCTTGGGGGCTGGCATTACAGTGCAGCAGGATAGGCCTGTAGCTGTAGCGCGTCCTGGCTGCCCTGTCTCCCACCAGCTCCCTGCTGATCCACCTGGGGAGGCAGCAGGAGGTGCTTGGGCTCCTGCCTGCCTGGGAGACTAAAATGAAGCTCCTGGCTTAGACCTGGCTGGCTTTTTCATTTGAGGTAAAGCAGCATGTGGAAGGCTTCTCTGACCCTCCATAACGCTTTCAAATAATTTGATCTCTGGAAAGGAAAGAAATGTGCTGATATTTCTTCCAAATAAATCTTTTTTTAAAAAATCTAGTCTTAGCTGTTCAGCATGGCTGTGACTGCTGATTTGGGGCGGCAGGCATATGGGGAATCCGTGAATACCAGGGTTGACTGGTTCTTTCCTGTACCTCTGGGCACCTCAGTTTGGGGCATGCACGGGCCCCCCGCTCTGCAACACACAGCGCTCCAGCTGTCTGCAGATCCTCACGGGGGCTGTGACCTCCAACAGAGAAAGCCACAAAGCCGGGCAGATGGCAACCCTGGCAAGCCCTCACCAAGAGACAGCACACTCTTTCCTACGGTCCCAGCCAGGCGTTCCGCTCAGGGCCAACACCTGGGGGAGGGGCCGGGGCAGCATGCGCGGGCACCCCAGCCTGTGAGAAGCCCACGGCCACCACTGGCAGCAGGATGGGGTTGAGCAGAGCAGGCACCAAGCTTCGGATCAGGTAGCATCGTGGGGAACCTCAGGGGACAGAGCTGGCCACACAAGGTCATGGACAGGAAACTATTTATAAGACACTTGAGCAGCGTGCAAGGCGATACTGCGCAGCAGTTGATGGATCTGATCTGCCGGCCAAGGAGGCCGCCAGCACCCCGGGCCGAGGCCGCCCACCCCGCGGGCCTCCCCTTGGGTAACCAGGACCTTAGCTTCTCGGGTTTTAACCGCTTAGGAGGAAAACGGGTCATTGGTCTCTGGAGTAACAACCTCTCTTTTTCTTTCTCTTTTTCCAACCTGAGTTGTGGTGGCAGGGAAGACGGGTTACGGGCGTGAGCTGCACAGGTTGTGAAGCGCAAACGGGTCTTGATGAGCTCATGGTCGGCCACCAAATCCACTTACAAAGATCACTCACATACTACATGCACAACATACAAGGGGTGTCACAAAGTTCATGAGAAAATGCAATGAAGAGAGAGGCGTGTGGGGGCCAGCCTGACGGCACAGCGGCCAAGCTGCCGCCTACAACAGCAGCTACTCCACTTCCCATCCAGCTGCCTGCTAACAACTGGGGAGCAGAGATGGTCCAAGGCTTTGGGCCGCTGCCACCCACGTGGGAGACCCAGAGCAGCTCATGGCTCCAGCCTGGCCCAGCCCTGGCTGGCGCGGGCATCTGGCGAGTGAACGAGGAACTGCAAGACCCGCCTCTTTGTCTATCTCTGACTTGCTCCGCCTTGCGAGTGGACGAGGTCAGTGCCCTGGGAAGGTTCATCTGCTGCAGCAGCTCCTGAATGCCACACACAGCATGCTCAGGACACTCGGGAGGCACCCCGGGCTTCAGACAGCACAAAGTTTGTAACAACCGTGCTCTGCCCTCCTTTTGACCAAGAGGGCACCTCGGCACGGCCCAGGGAGCCTTGGGCAGCCTGCAGGGGCACGAGGGCCTGCCGCAGCGGCGGCTGAGGGCAGCCTCAGAGGAGGGCGTGTGCAGTCCCCCACCCCCACACGTGTGCAGAGGGCACTCCAGGTGACCCCGGGCAGCCGTTGCTAAATGGAGAGGTGCAAAGCTCTGGGATCATCCGTGAGCTCGGGCGGGACGGGGAGGGCTCCTGGCCGGCGTCCCTGCCCCCGCCCGGGGGCCCAGGTGGCAGCTCCTGTGGCTGACCTCCTCATCCACGGGCCCTGGGAGAGTCTCCAGGGAGCAGCCAGGGCAGGTGGGTGCAGAGCTCGCTTGGAGTGCCAGACTCCCCGGCTCTGCTGCCTCATGCCTCAGTTTCCCTAGCAGCAACCCAGCCAGCACTGTCACAGTTCTCACCTGGGCCGGCTGGGAGGGCTCCATAAAGTCTTAGATGGATAAATGAGAGGGAAAGAGGGAGTCGAGAAGGGGAGCTGGGGCTGGGGTCTCCAGAACCCGACGCTTCACAGGCAGTAAGTAAATGCTTACTATGGCGTCTTCTCAGCTGCTTTCAAGTTGTGGAGTGCAGGTTGAGGGGCACAAGGACAGGATTAAACACAAAGTTTTCTCAGTCCTGAGGGGCTGATTCTCAGTGCAGCCTCGGCAGCCACAGAGGGCTTCTGGGGGCCTGGGGCACCCTGCCCACTCTTCCCAGGCTGGGTGCAGGGAGCAGTGGGCGGTATCCTGAGGGCTCTCAGTGCATAGGGGCATCCCCAGGGCAGGATGCAGCTCTTCCCAGAACTTTTTTATTAGGCAAATAGCAGGCCACGTATCCCCCCGCCCAATCCCACAAAGAAGGATCTTAGGGTGACCCTCGCTTCAAAATAGTTCCTGTCGCCCAAGGAGCACAGGACATGGGGTGGTCAGACCCTCTGCTGCTCCTGCCCACACCTGTCCACACCTCCCCTCATTAACAGGAGGGCTGTGGGCAGCCGAGCAGGGGCACGTGCGATGGGCATCACACGTGAGTGCCACGCTGGCTCCTGTCCCGCCCCACCGCTTGGATGGCCTGTTTCCTGCTCTGTGAACTGGACCCCTGGGTGTGAGGGAGCAGGGGCTGGACCCCTGGGTGTGAGGGAGGAGGGGCTGGACCCCTGGGGTGTGAGGGAGGAGGGGCTGGGCTGGACCCCTGGGTGTGAGGGAGGAGGGGCTGGACCCCTGGCTGTGAGGGAGGAGGGTCTGGGCTGGACCCCTGGGTGTGAGGGAGGAGGGGCTGGCCCCCTGGGTGTGAGGGAGGAGGGGCTGGCCCCCTGGGTGTGAGGGAGGAGGGGCTGGACCCCTGGGGTGTGAGGGAGGAGGGGCTGGGCTGGACCCCTGGGAGTGAGGGAGGAGGGGCTGGGCTGGACCCCTGGGTGTGAGGGAGGAGGAGCTGGCCCCCTGGGTGTGAGGGAGGAGGGGCTGGACCCCTGGGTGTGAGGGAGGAGGGGCTGGGCTGGACCCCTGGGTGTGAGGGAGGAGGGGCTGGACCCCTGGCTGTGAGGGAGGAGGGTCTGGGCTGGACCCCTGGGTGTGAGGGAGGAGGGGCTGGCCCCCCGGGTGTGAGGGAGGAGGGGCTGGACCCCTGGGTGTGAGGGAGGAGGGGCTGGACCCTGTATATGAGGGCAGAGACGCTGGGGTCTGGGTCTGCGTGTGTGTTCTACAACAGGGCACTGACAGTAACAGGAGAATGGGAACTCCCAGTACGGGCTGCCCTCATTCCCCGTGGGTCTGAAGGGGTCTCTCCCAGCCGAGCCTGGCCCTTGGGGGTTCACGGCACGTTTGTCCCCTCTGTCCTGGGATCGGCGCCCAGAGTCCAAGCTGGTCTAAGTTTGGACGGGGGAGGAGGGGCAGCGGTCAGAGGGGGCATGGGAGACATGCGGGGGACAGGATGTCTCTGTCTGTCGCCGTCACACACACCCCAGCCCAGAGCAAGGGAGGGACAAAGGATCAGGGAAAGTCCGGAACAAAGAGGAGGAAAGAGAGGCAGGCAGAGACTCAGGGAGTGAGTGGAGACACCACGACGGAGACAGGGGCTCGGGGAGCAGAAGGGAACCAAGAGAGGGGAGACAGCAAGGGCCAGGGGACCCTGAGACAGGGCAGGGAGAGGCAGACCCAGCCCGTGTCCAGGGGCTGCTCAGAGGGGTGGCAGAAGAGAACAGAGACCCGGGCAGCAAGAGAGAGGAACAGGAGGGGGACCAGGAGAGAGACCCTGGCCCTGTGGGAGCAAGGGTACGCAGAGCACCACACACCCGCCCACCCAAGGGTGCTGCGCAGGGGGCAGGGCTTGTGGGGCCACCCCACTTACCCTTTCTGCCCTCGGCTCAGCGGCACCTGGCAGAGGAGCTGTGGGGGGCTCACTCAGAAGTTGGTTGCTGTTGAGAGGAACCTACACAAGGGGTGCCAGCCAAAGGCCCCCTAGCTGTAGCAGGGGACCCCCTAAGATGGAGTTCAGGGATTCTGAGACCCCCGAGGACGGGGATTCAGAGGTGAGCAATGGAGTGGGGCAGGGACACGGCAGAAAGAAAGGGGCTGTGAGCTTGGGGGGCGCAGTTCAGGGCTCAGCAAGGAGGCCTCTGTGTGCCCCAGGACCCAGAGAAGGGGGAGGCGCAGCTCCAGGTGTGGCTGGGGGCTCCAGTGCCCGTGGGCAATGCTCCCCAGCCCCTGGCAGGACATTCAAACAGGTGGCCTGAGCCTGTGGTGACTCACCGTGACTCATCCTCCTCCCCGGGGACAGCGACCCTTGTTCCTGCTGAGCCTCTGCCCCTTGCAGGGGCCCCAACTTCATGCCCTCCCTTCCCGCAGGAGGACACCGCCACAGCCCTACAGAGGCTGGTGGAGCTGACGGCCACCAGGGTGACTCCTCTGCGGAGCCTGAGCACCCAGTACCGCCTCATCCGGAAGCTGGGCTCGGGCTGCTATGGGCGCGTGCTCCTGGCAAGGCCTCGCCTCGGGGGTGAGTCCACCGCCTGTCACCATGGGGTCCTGGAGGGCTGCCGGGCTTATGCCAGACCCCAGGCACTGAGGTCCCTCCTGTCCTGCGCCATGTGTTCCTGCCCTGCCCTGCAGGTCCCCTGGTGGCCCTGAAGCTGCTGCGGAGGGACATGGTGCTCAGGACAAGCTTCTTGCGGGAGTTCTGCGTGGGCCGTTGTGTCTCTTCACACCCAGGCCTGCTGCGCACCTTCGCCGGGCCCCTGCAGACACCCCAACATTTCGCCTTCAGCCAGGAGTATGCACCCTGTGGAGACCTCAGCGGGATGCTCCAGGAGAGGGTGAGGTGCAGAGTGAGGGGTGGGGGTGGACAGGGAGGGCCAAGCAGGTGCTGCTAACCCCAGCTCGCCTCTGCCCAACGCTTCAACTTCTATCTCCAGTCCCAGCATCTCCCCAAACCCCCCTTCCCATCCTGCAAGGTGTCCACTCCCCAACCTCCGAGCAAGTGCTGACGCTCTGGTAAGGCAGCGAGCACCGTGGTGAGGTGCAGGTAGAGCTGCCACGGCGAGTAGGGTTGTGGACCCAGCCGGGGCTGGCTGAGTTTAGATTTGATCAGAGGCTGGTGACTGACACAGAGGGGAGTGAGAGGAAGGCAGAGAAGCGGAGGATGAGCTCAGATTGAGCTAGCTGGGCTCTCTTCCAGAAAGAGACTGGACCAGAAGTGAATCTATGAGGTTCTGGGGTCTCTGGAGTTTGAGGGCTAGGGACATGGGTGCTTTAGGAATAGATTTTGGATTTGAGATAGGCTTGATCGAGAAAGGATGATTAAAGGAAGAAAAGAAAGTAGGATGAATGGATGGATGGATGGATGGGTGGATGGATGGATGGATGGGTGGGTGGATGGATGGATGAACGGAAGAATGAAAGGAATGGGTGGATCGATGGATGGATGGGTGGATGAATGGAAGAATGAATGGAAGAATGAAGGGATGGGTGGATCGATGGATGGATGGATGGATGGATGGATGGATGGATGGATGGCTGAATGGTTGGCTGGGTTGGTGGATGGATGAGTGGATAGATGGATGGATAGGTGGATGGACAGAAGGATGGATTGGTGGGTGGGTGGATGGATGGATGAGTAGGTGGATGGATGGATGAGTGGACAGATGGGTGGATGTGTCGATGGGTGGATGCATCTGTGGGCAGGTGGGTAGAAGAGTGGATGGACGGATGGATGGATGGATGAGAGGATGGATGAGAGGATGGACGGATGGATGGATGGATGGATGGATGGATGGATGGATGGATGGAAGGATGCATGGATGGATGGCTGAATGGTTGGCTGGGTTGGTGGATGGATGAGTGGATAGATGGATGGATAGGTGGATGGACAGAAGGATGGATTGGTGGGTGGATGGATGGAAGGATGCATGGATGGACAAGTGAATGAATGAATGTTGGATATTAAGTAATAAGTTACTGATTTGCTGAGAACTGGAGCAATGGCTGCGGAGGGGACACACACACTGCTGAACCCTGTGGGAACAATTACTGACTACACGGAAGGCTGATGAAGTGAGTGGGGTTGATGAGCAGTGCTGAGTCTGAGCTGGGGGGCTGGGCTCAGATGCCACCAAGCTGGACATGTGGTATGGGGCTTCAGCTTCACCAGAGGAAATCCCTGGGTAGCATTTGGGGTCCAGGCAACGGAGTTGTGTGGGGCAAGTGGAATGCAGCTGAATGTTAGATATCTGGTTAGCATTGGGGTCCTGGTGGTCCCTGGGAAGCAGGGTGAAGGCTGAGGCTGAGAGGGGGTGCTATGGGGATACCAAAGGTGAAAGGTCTGGACACTGAATCCCAGTGGGAGCCTCTGACCCCCTGCTCCCTTCCTGCCCACAGGGCCTCCCGGAGCTGTTGGTGAAGCGGGTGGCAGCCCAGCTGGCCGGAGCCCTGGACTTCCTCCATGGTCGGGGGCTGGTCCACGCAGATGTCAAGCCGGACAATGTGCTGGTGTTTGACTCTAGCTGCAACCGTGTGGCCCTGGGTGACCTGGGCCTGACCCGGCCCGAGGGCAGCCCAACACCTGCCCCAACGGTGCCCCTGCCCACTGCACCACCTGAGCTCTGCCTGCTACTGCCACCTGACACCCTGCCTCTGCGGCCAGCCCTGGACTCCTGGGGCCTTGGGGTGCTGCTCTTTTGTACAGCCACCGCCTGCTTCCCCTGGGATGTGGCCCTGGCCCCTGACCCTGAGTTTGAGGCCTTTGTTGGCTGGGCAGCTGCCAGGCCCCGGCCTCCTCGACCCCCACCGCCTTGGGACCAGTTTGCGCCACCAGCTCTAACCCTATTCCGGGGGCTTCTGGACCTGGATCCAGAGACGAGGAGCCCACCATTGGCTGTCCTGGATGCCCTGGGGGACGACTGGGGGCTGGACGGAGACAGGGAGGAAGTCAGCGGCCCAGGGGCTGTGTGCTGTGAGGATGAGGAGGAAGAGGAAGGAGAGGGGGGATCCAGCTTGGAGGAATGGACAGACAAGGAAGAGGAGGAGAAAGAGGAGGAGGAAGAGGAGGAAGAGGAGGAGGAGGACGGCAGAGGGATGGTGACAGGTGGGGGAGCTTCCTGACCAGGTGACAGGGACAGGTGGCAGAGTCTGAGCCAAAGGCCCTTCCCCCAGTGCCACGGCCACCTGGACAACAGACAGCTGCTCCCGAGAGCACAGAGAGGAACACCCTGCACTGTGCCTGCTGCAGGGCTGGGCCAGGACAGGCAAATTCCTCCCCTCCACTTCACACCCAGGGGTCCAGCCCAGCCCCTCCTCCCTCACACCCAGGGGTCCAGCCCAGACCCTCCTCCCTCACACCCAGGGGTCCAGTCGCTCCTCCCTCACACCCAGGGGTCCAGCCCCTCCTCCCTCACACCCAGGGGTCCAGCCCCTCCTCCCTCAGACCAGGGGTCCAGCCCAGCCCCTCCTCCCTCAGACCAGGGGTCCAGTCCCTCCTCCCTCACACCCAGGGGTCCAGCCCAGACCCTCCTCCCTCACACCCAGGGGTCCAGCCCCTCCTCCCTCACACCCAGGGGTCCAGCCCCTCCTCCCTCACACCCAGGGGTTCTGAACTTGTCGTCCTCACCCTCTCTGTGCAATTTTCCCCCTGAAAGAGGCACTGCATCTCTTGAAGTCTGTGTCTCCACGCTGTTGGGGCTGAGGCTAAATAAACGCCTGTTGTGGAATCCTGCAGGAACCCCTGCCTTTTCAGGCTCTGAGCGGCTCCCATCCCCTATGGCGCAGAACCTGAATCTGGGACCGAGACGTGTCCGTCTCACAACCGCCCCTTCGTGTCCGGGCGACGTTAGGGGAGTCGGGCGTGGGCTTGGGACCTCATGCACATGCCCACACGCACCTCCTGCTTGTCACACAAGCCCTCTCCTCCCACGGCTCACGTCAGAGCCCCCTGAGTTTCTGCCTTTTCCGCCTCTCCTCTCAGACCATCAGGGTGGACCTGGCATCCCCTCCTGGCACTGAGCACGGTCCCGGAGCTCTGCCAGAGCCCTGTCAGCCTCCAGAGCTGGCCTCACCCCGGGGCCTCTGCCCGCATGGAACTCCCCAGTGCGCAGAACAGGGGTGGGGTGGACTGGAGCCCACTAGCATGCCCCTGGGGCAGCTAGTGACATTTTCTCCATGACAAAAAGAAGTGTCTGGCACCTCAGGGGCCCCAGGCTGGATCAGCATCACAAGGCCACTGTAATGGAGACAGTGGGGGAGTCAGGGTCTCCCCATGTCGGTGCTTCTGCGGACCTTGGGTCACCATAAACCTGAGGGGCAGGTGCAGCTGCCCTACAGCAAAGGGCCAGACCCCCATCAGCCTCACAGTTGCTCCACCACCTGCTCCGGCAAAGGGTGAGGTCACCTCTCACCACATCGCTCTGGAATCTCCTTGTCTCATCCTTTCCCCCAAACAGCAGCCTGGCATCTGGTGCCAGGGATGCCCTCCACTGACACTCCTGTTTGACCTCTCAGGGGGTGGACAGCTGGGAGGGTCAGGCCAGAGGCAGCTTAGTGACTCCCCTGGGTGTGAAGGAGGAGGGTCTGAGCTGGACCCCTGGGTGTGAGGGAGGAGGGACTGGGCTGCACCCCTGGGTGTGAGGGAGGAGGGACTGGGCTGGACCCCTGGGTGTGAGGGAGGAGGGGCTGGGCTGGACCCCTGGGTGTGAGGGAGGAGGGGCTGGACCCCTGGGTGTGAGGGAGGGAGGGGGTTTTGGGGATTGGGCCAAGGTCTGAGGGAGAAGCTGAGTTCTGGGTGCCCAGCACTTGTTTAGCACCTTCAGTTCTAAGAGCCAACGCATGATGTCGCTCTGCCCCCAGTGGGGGGCAGAATGGGCGGGGCCAGGGGCGGGGCCTTACGACCCCCAAGTAGGGGCGGGGTCTTGCCCCTGGGCAGGCCTGTACTAGCAGGGCCCTAAGTGCCAGGCACTGAGCAGAGCAGGCAGCCGGAGGGTCGGGCAAGCCGTGGAGGAGGTGAGGGCTGCAGGTCTGGGCACAGGTGGGAACAGGGCAAAGTTACACAGCCTGAGGCCCGCAGGACCTGGGACTGGAAATCACCAGCTGGCCACTTAGGTCCTCTGGGGGGGCTCGGCTGCACCCCGCGACCGGAGAGCAGTAGTTCAGTGTTTCGGAAACAGATTCGGGGGTATGTAGGTGTGTGGCCTTTTCAGGGCTCCAGGAGACAGGGTGGCTGGGAACCTAGGCCTGAAGGAGAGGCTGGAGTCCAGACACCAGGCCGGAAAGGAGGGTGGGCTGTGAAAGCAGGGCTCCCCGATCTGAGGGAGGAAGGTGGGCTCGGAGGGATGGACGTGAGGCGGGCCGGCGGACGGTCAGACAGGCCGGTGGGCTGACAGGGACCAGGCGCGGCCTGCGCAGCCCCGCCTCCTCCTGCAGCCCTGGGGGGACCGCACCTGTTTGCTCTCAGGAGACCCAGCCCGCTCCCCTGCCTGCCCCTGGGCCCAAGTCTGTTTGCTTTGGAAACAAGGTGGGGGGTGTCCCAGCGATCTGGCTCATCTTTCACCCTCGGGCCACGGGGTGGCCAGGGTGTGATGGCGGAGGACATCTGGGACCTGTCTCCTGACCTCATCTCGCACCAGCAGCCAGGCTCTCAGCTCCCACGGCCGCGTGCCAGGAGGGAGACCAAGTTAGGCAAGAAGCTGGAGCCCCCAGCCCCACCTCTTTGGACCAGGGTCCTCCTAGACCCGCCCTTTCAGATCAGGGGTCCAGCCCAGCCCCTCCTCCCTCACACCCAGGGGTCCAGCCCAGCCCCTCCTCCCTCACACCCAGGGTCCAGCCCCTCCTCCACCTGGGCTTGGCAGCCTGAGCCCTAGCGCTGTCCTGCCCATCTTCACACAGATGCCAGGCAAGCAGCCAGAAGCAGCAGTGGAGGCCGAGGCTGCCGAGGCCGAAGATGGAGCTGTGGAGGGCCTGGGGGGCCTCACCATGGAAGAACTCCAGCAGGGCCAGGAGGCGGCCCGGGCCCTGGAGGACATGATGGCCCTGAGTACACAGACCCTGGTCCGTGTGGAGTTGGACGAGCTCTACCAGGAAGTGCGTGTCCTGGGCCAGGGCCGCTTTGGCCGGGTCCTGCTGGTCACCCATCGGCAGAAAGGTACCAGGACCAGGGTGCATTGGGGGCGTGGGCATGACCCAGGGAGGGCTGTCGCCTCTGCCCCCTCCAGGCTGTGTCCTGGGGACGGCCCGAACCTCCCTGCCTTGGGCCCCACCATGCCTGGTGTAGGGGGTAGTCCTCAGTGCACCGGGCTTTCTCCCACCCGCCATTCCTACGGCTTGTAACTGTAGATGGACTGGACACTGAGGAGCAAGGACACCCACCCAAGTAGAGCCATGACAGTCACAGCCCAGGGTGGAGCAGCCAGCAACTCCACTCTGCTGCTTCGGAGCCTCTGTTAATAACAGAAGGGTCACTTAACACAGGGACCGAGGCACCAGTCCATCTGGGGGTCACCTAGCACAGGCAAACCCAGGGGCCGCTGGACACCAAGCACAGAAGCAAGGACGACTGAGAAGCACCAGGAAGCAGAGCTCAGCTAGGGCCCAGCTTCCGAGTGCCGGCCCCCGTGGCTGGCAACTGCCTCAAGTCAGACGTCCCAAGCTCTGGCCTGCAGCAACTCGCCATCTCCCATGCCACTTGCACTGGGATCCAGCTCAGGGTGGGATCCGGCTCAGGGTGGGATCCGGCTCAGGGTGGGATCCAGCTCAGGGTGGGATCCGGCTCAGGGTGGGATCCGGCTCAGGGTGGGATCTGGCTCAGGATGGGATCCAGCTCAGGGTGGGATGCGGCTCAGGGTGGGATCCAGCTCAGGGTGGGATCCGGCTCAGGGTGGGATCCGGCTCAGGGTGGGATCTGGCTCAGGATGGGATCCAGCTCAGGGTGGGATGCGGCTCAGGGTGGGATCCAGCTCAGGATGAGATCCAGCTCAGGGTGGGATCCAGCTCAGGGTGGGATCCAGCTCAGGGTGGGCTTGGGAAGGGAGTGACTGCGACAGGGTGGAGCGGGTGATGGCAGCTGGCCCCCTGTCCCTCTGCTCTCCTGCCCCAGGCACGTCCCTGGCCCTGAAGCAGCTTCCCAAGTCCTCCACCTCCCTCCGGGGCTTCCTGTATGAGTTCTGCGTGGGCCTGGCGCTGGGCACGCATCCGGCCATCGTCGAGGCCTACGGCATTGGCATTGAGTCTGCCGCTTCCTACAGTTTCCTGAGTGAGCCAGTTCTACACGGTGACCTCATCGCCTTCATCCAGCCCAAGGTGGGTGACCGATGCCGTGGCCGCCTGGCCACCATCCGGCGGGGGGAGTTCCTGCCGCTGGCCTCTCCCTCTCCGCGCACCTGCCTCCCTGGGGTGGGCAGAGGGACTCCCAGGGCCTCTTCCCTGCAGGTGGGTCTTACGCAGCCCGCAGCACAGCGCTGTGCCGCGCAGCTGGCCTCAGCCCTGGAGCACATCCACGCGCATGGCCTCGTGTACCGGGACCTGAAGCCTGAAAACGTGCTGGTGTGTGACCCGGGCGTGCGACGCGTCAAGCTCGCGGACTTCGGCCACACGCGGCCCCGCGGCACGATGCTGCGCCTGGCCGGGCCACCCATTCCCTATACAGCCCCGGAGCTGTGCGCGCCGCCGCCGCTCCCCGACGGCCTCCCCATCCAGCCCGCCCTGGATGCCTGGGCGCTGGGTGTCCTGGTCTTCTGCCTCCTCACCGGCTACTTCCCCTGGGACCAGCCCCTAGCGGAGACCGACCCCTTCTACGAGGACTTCCTGGTGTGGCAGGCCTCGGGTCAACCCCAGGACAGGCCCCAGCCCTGGTTCGGCCTGGCACCTGCTGCGGACGCCCTCCTGTGGGGGCTGCTGGACCCTCGGCCGCGGAAGAGGAGTCCCGTGAGCGCCGTGCGGGGCTACCTGGGGCGCCCCTGGAGGCAGCGGAAGGGGGAGGAGGTGGAGGAGGTGGAGGAGGTGGACGAGGCGGAGGAGGTGGACGAGGTGGACGAGGTGGAGGAGCGAGAAATGGGGAAGCTGGAGGAAGCCGAGGGCCGAGGTGGGGAGTGAGAGGACAGGAGAGCAGCAGGTCCCGCCCCACTGGACCTGCGCACCCGGGGCGGGGTCTCCAGCTTTGCACCTGCCGACCCTCACCGGATCCCCTTTCTGGCCGCTCAGCCCCTTCAGCCGTCTAAGCTTGCCGTGCGGCTCTGAGGAGGGGGCAGTGGCCCCCCCTGCAGGAGCTCGGGTGGGGGGTCCTCCCTGTGGCGCTTCCTGCTATACGTCTGTCCCTCCAACAGCAAGAACTAGTACAACTCGCAGACCATTGGAGCAAGGGGCAGGGATGGGGCTGCCAGCCACACCAGCTCCTGGCGAAGAGCCCTCGGGGCCTCCTCTCCCCGGCTGGGTGGTCCCGTCTGCCTGTGGGATGCTGGGTGCCACCCCCTCCCTCCAGCTCCCTGCGAATAAAGCCAGTGTGGTCCCGCAAAGGCTCTGAGACTGACACCTGTCTGTGGGAAAGGGGAGGAGAGAGCTGAGCTCCCAGAACCCTTTTTATTTCACCAACCCAAAGCTTGTGTGGCACCACGGAGATGCGGATTGTCGATACCAAAGGCGGATTCTGGGAACCCACGACGCAGGCACACATACACACACACGCACTTGTGGCTCGAGTGGACAGACTCTGGCTCGTGCACTGGGGGCAGGGGCTGGGAGGACTCTTGGCGGTCTGCAGGCGGACACTGGATCCGTGTTTATGTATCTGCAAGGCTTTGGGCGTGTGTGTGCGCCTAGCGGGGCAAGAAAGGTCAGGCGGGTGCCGAAGCCTGTCGGCACCTTCCCCTCCCTGGGCCCCTGCTGGCAGCCACCCCGCTGTGGACACTCCCTCTTCCTCTCCGTACCAGGCCTGGCCCTAGGCCCAAGACAGGGCTGCAGCCACTGCGGGGCAGATCCTGTGTCACCCGCTGCCGGCTCCCTGCTGGGACCACAAGGTGTCACCTGGCAGAGGGCCGCGCGTGTGTCTGCACCTCGGGGAGCCCCTGCAGGACCCTCTGGGTCTGGGTCCAAATCCAGAGAAGTGGGGACACAAGCCCCTGCCCTGGGCAGTCTGGCCTGCGGGGGCGGGGACTGGCTTCCTGGAAGGTGAGTTCCTTGGTGGACCTTCCTGGTGGAGAAGCCAGAGGGGCACACCACGGATCTGAAACAGCTCCAGCAATTAGTTCAAGAATGTGTCTCGTAAAAGCTGGAGGTGCGGCGGGGGAGCTTGGTGTTAACCGGTGGTGGCAGCTGAGGATCCAGGGAAGGTGACAAGGAGGTAACCGGGCAGCCTGACCCGCAGGGGCGCTAAGGAGGCAGTGCCAGCTGCTCAGGCGCCCCCGGCTGCAGGGCTCCTGCCTGAGGCTCGGGCGGCTTGGCTGCCGTAGCCAAGCACCTGCCCCTGCTCACAGAGCCGCCAGCAGCAGGACGGGACTGGAACCCAAGCCTGCTACGTGCGGGGTCCCTGTGGTGCCATGGGTGCTGGGTCAGGGGGAGTGATGGAGGCTGTGTCCCTGCAGGGAGCCCCTGAGCTTGCCTGGAACTGCGCTGTAGGGTGCTGCTGGTGCGATGGGATAGGAAGCTGCCCTGGAGACCCGAGGCTCCTGCCTGAGTGAGCTCCCCAGGCGAAACAAAATCCACACCCAGAGGAAAGCCCACAGGAAGACACTGAAGCATCCCCACCACTGTCCCACCCGAGGAGAGACGCCCGCGCCCACGCAGGGGGCTCACACACGGCCTGGCGCGGGTGTGCTCTGAAACCCTTGCGCCCTGAGCTACCCGCGAGCGGAAGCAGCCAGCCTGGGTGGAGGGCACTGCGTCATCTGTGGTGGGAGAAGCTCGCAGGCGGCGGCGGAGGACCGGGGGTGAGAGGGCGCTCAGCCCCTCAGCGCCCCTAAGACTGGGGCAAAGGAAGGAGGCACGGGTGCGGAGGACTCAGTATGGGCACCTGCTCGCCCAATCAAGCTCCCAGACCCTAACCCTCGAAGTCAAGCTCCCTGGGGCCTGTGTGGTGGCACAGCTGGTAGAGCCCACCGCTTGCTGCACCAAGCATCCCATACGAACTCCAGCTCCAGTCCCAGCTGCTTCACTTCCCATGCAGCTCCTTGCTAATGCACCTGGGAAAGCTGAGGAGGCTGGCCAAATGCTTGGACCCCTGTCAGCCACGTGGGAGACCCAGAGGGAGCTGCTGGCTCCTGGCTTCAGATCAGCCCAGCTCCAGCATGGCTGCCATGTGGGGAGGAGACCAGCGGATGGAAGATCTGTCTCCTGTTTTTAATTCTGCCTCTCAAATGAAGCAATGGCTCTCCCCGCCTTGCCGCTAAGATCATTGTGGCCCCACGGGAACTTTTGTCCTACAGTGTCACAAAGCCAGAAAGAGGTGGGCACCAGCCCACCGCCCAGCTCCCCTGGCCACACGACCCTGAGCAAGCAGGACTGGCTACCAACGGAGGGGCAGGGATCCTAGGGGAAACCTCAGGCCCGGCCTCCTGTTTCAAATCCAGCAGATCAGGAAAAGACCCCACTCTAACCACCCACCAGTGCCGGCAGAGCCAACGCTCAGCTCCTGGGTACTGCGGCACCCCGAGCCTGCAGCAAGGGGTTCACTCCATGCCTGCCGCTAGGTGAGGCGGCCTTGGTGGGAACACGAGGCCTGTTCGTGGAGTGTTGGCCCAGCACCGGGCAGCAGGCGCGGGGGGCTGGCCACTCCGCTGGGCCCCAGGCAGAGGCTTGTGAGGGGGACTGCTGCTAAACCTGCCAGGCTCCTCCTGCTTCGGCTGAGCCTGCTAGGTCTGGGCAGCTACTGTTCTGGGCCTGGTGCAAGGTGGTGGCAGAACTCAGCTGTCCCGTGGGAGGTGCCAGGGTCAGGGCTGGGGCGGGGGTGGGGGGAACTTGGCCACCCATCCTGGCCTTGGGCCCAGGGGCCAGATGTCTGCGCTTAGCCACTGGCCCAGCAAGCAGAGGGTGACTGGGTAATTGGGCACTCGCTTCTGCGGGGCTGCCAGAGGCTGGTGGGGCTGGAGAGAGCTCTGTTTGCCCAGAGCCTGACCCCCGAACTGGGCCGGCTGCAGTGAGGAGCCTGGGGCAGGGTTCAGCCACTCCTGGGGAAGCAGAAAGGCGGCTTACGCCCAAGCCGGGCGCCATCCTGTCACTGGCTCGCCCGCCTGGCCCTCGGCAAGCCCTGAGGGACCAGTCAGCAGTTATTTAGGTCTCAGGCTTAATGAGAGCCAGGGAAAGGAGAATTGTTGGTGTGCCCCTTTGCCTGTTGGCAGGAACAAACAGCCCACCCGGAGACCCCCAGACACGAGTACCTGCCCCGTACTGGCCTGCTGGCCCAGCCCCTGCAGGCCCCCTCTCCTCCAGTGACTGAGCCAGGGAGGAGGGGGTGCCGTGCTGCTGGTCCTGGTTTACAGCGTGGCCACCTGTCGCTCCTGCCGAAGGTCACCAGGAGAGAGGCAGAAGAGCCGACCCGGTGGGTGGCCGGGCAGGGCTTGACGAGTCCTGGTCCCGCTGTGCGGCCTTAGATAAGGCCTTGCCCTCTCTGGTCCACAGAGGGCCGTGGGAGGGGTCCAGTCAGGAGTCCATGGTCAAAGCCGCCGCCTGGGGCTCCCGGGGTGATGCAGGTCTCAGTCCAGGTCGCTCTGCTTCTAACCCAGCTCCCAGCTCACGAGCCTGGGCAAGCAGCGGAGGGGACTCCAGGGCTTGGGCCCCCACACCCACATGGGAGACCTGGCTCCCAGCTTCAGACAGGCCCAGCTCCGGCCAGTGCAGCCACCAGATGAAAGATCTCTCTCACCCTATCTCTGGCTTTCCTCTCCACAACCATCACCTCTCGTGCCTCAACAAGCGCTAGGTCACCCCCATTTTACAGCAAAATTGAGGCTCAGTGAAAAAGACAAGCCACTAGATTTCCTGTGGGGACACGGCCGAGCCAGGTCCTGGCCATGTGACGTGGCCGTGGGACACTGCCCTGAGGTCATGGCTCCCCCGTGCCCACCGAGGGCTCATGCCTTGGTGCCAGGTCTGCAGGCGGGGTGAAGGCGTGCTGGTATGCTCTCACCTGCCCCACCCCCCACCCCCAGAGGCGGGCATGAGTACCCACTGTTCAGAGCTGGGACTGCTCAGGCCCTACCCGGCAAGGCTCGGCCAGGTCATCTGCTGAGCCCTGGTAACTGTAGACGGCCCCTCCTGGGGGGTGTTGTCAGGCCCCATGACACAGCCCACACAAAGCCCCTGGAAGCGCCGTGCCACATGAGTCACCAGCAGGGTGACACACCCATGGCCTCAGAAGGGGCTCACTACCATGACTCTGCGTTAGCCTCGGGCCGGAAGGCTGGCACTGGCGCCAGGACCGAGCAGATCTCTGCCCCCAGGGAGCTGGATCTTTGCTGTCATGCCTGCCATCAAGGTCACCAGCAGCACGGGACCAAGAGGCCATCACCACCTCCAGGTCACTATCAATACTATTGACCATGCTCATCACCACTGCCAATACTATCAGTGTTAACACAAACCTCGCTAGCTCGGCCAGCATCACCACACCCATCCACCACCATCAACACCATCTCCACCAGCACCACCACCATCAGAACCACGGAGTGGTCAAAACCACTAACCACCACCACCACGTTAACACAACCACCACCACCATCATCACCATTGTTAACACAACCATTACCACCACCACCACCATCAACACCATCACCACCTCCACCACCGTTTAAACAAACACAACCACCTCCACCATCACTGTCGTCACTGGCACTCGCATGGCCTCCACCTTGGGCAGCAGTCCATGTGCCATTCATTCACAAATCAACATCGACCCCATGATCGTCTCCCCCAGGCTGTCTGGATCCCCAAGAATCACAAGCCACACCTTGTGTCTAATCAGGTTCTTTGGTTTTCTCGTGTGTCTGGGGCGCGGGGACGCCCCACCCGAGTCCAGCAGTGGTTACACGTCTCCCCGCAGAGGCCGCTCCGTGGTGGTTGGCACAGGCACAGGCGTGCTGGGAGGCCAGGCCACCTCCACCAGCCTCTTCAGGACCTCACTCAGTTGTCCCAGCCCTTGAGCAGCCTCCACCAGCTGGCTGAGTCCCAGCCACTGGGCCCGGCGCTCCTGCCGCTCCTGCTCCAGGACCTGGGTCAGCCTCTGCAGCTGGCCGCCCACGTCCCTCACGGCGGCCACCAACTCTACCAGGGCGGGGGGCTCGCAAGCCATGACCCGCACGGCCGGCGTTGGGGCCACACATGGGCCCAGGGGACCCGGGCTTGGGCCAGGTGTCGGCCCAAGGGTGTGCGGATCAGGAGGAGGTAGATCTAACGGGTGGGCCGCTGTGGGGAGGGGGCGGGGTGGGGTCACGCTGGGGTCAGAGGTCGAGTGTGGGGTCTGGGTGGTGGGAGGGGTCAGTTCAGGGCCCTGGCTTCTCTGGGTTTTGGAGTCCTCAAGGGATTCCGGGTCCACGCTTGGGGCTGCCGAGGGTCTGGGTTCGGAGGCCGCAGGGGGCTGCGTGTGTGAGGTGGGAGCACCCAGGGAAGGGGTGGAGGCCAGGCTGGGCGGCCGGGCTGACGCTGGGGTGGGGGAGGGAAGTTCTGTCCCCAAGGAGGTGGGCAGGGGCTTAGTGGTGCCGAGTGTGGAGGTAGGAGCCGGAGTTGTGGGGGCAGTGAGGCCAGTGGGACTGGACGTGCCGAGAGGAGGGGTGGTGGCGTGCGCACTGGTGGCCGTCTGCAGGGTGGTGGGGGCAGGGGTTGTGGTGGGGACAGCAGGGAGAGTGGGATGGAGGGTGGTGGGGGTCCGAGGGGGCGCAGTGGGAGGTGGGGGGATGGGGGTGTCGGTGGGTCCAGGAGGTCCTGGGTCAGTCCTGGGGTATGAAGCGGTGCTAGTGTCTGGAGTGGTGTCTAACTTTGGGATCAGCTCCGAGGTAGGGGCAAGACTGGTCACATCCGCCTGGGCAGAGCAGTCAGAGGTCAGCTCCGCGGGCAGGCTGGGCAGTGGGGTGTCGGGGGGGGAGGGTGCCGCCGTGCCTCCCAGAGTGGCACTGGAGGTGGAGGTCGGCCAAGGAAGGTCAGGGGCGGCTGAAGCCAAGTCGGGGCTCATCGAGGAGGCCGGCTCGGTGGTAGGTGGTGATGTCGTGCTGGGGTCAGAGGTCGCCTCTGCCGTGGGTTCAGGGTCAGGGGTGGCAGAGGTCAGCAGGGTGCCCGGTGAGGTGGAGGGAGCCGGGGACGGGGTGGGGCGCAGCAGCCGCTGCTTGAAGCCCGGTTTCCTTGGGGAGCCTGGAGGAAGGAGAGAGAGAGGAGGAAGAAGGGGAAAAGCAAGGGGAGGGACAAAGGAGGAGCAAGAGGATGAGGGGAGGGAGGAGGGAGAGGAGGGAGGAGGGAGGAGAGGAGGGAGAGGAGGGAGGGGAGGGGAGGAGGGAGAGGAGGGAGAGGAGGGGAGAGGAGGAGGGAGGGGAGGAGAGAGAGGAGGGGAGGAGGGAGGGGAGGAGGGAGAGGAGGGGAGGAGGGGAGGAGGGAGGGGAGGAGGAGGGAGAGGGGGAGGAGGAGGAGGAGGGAGAGGAGAAGGAGGGGAGGGGAGGAGGGAGAGGAGGAGGAGGAGGGAGGGGAGGAGGAGGGAGGGGAGGAGGAGGAGGAGGAGGGAGAGAAGGAAGGAGAGGAGAGGAGGAGGAGGGGGAGGAGGGAGAGGAGGAGGAGGAGGAGGGAGAGGAGGAGAGGGTAGAGGTCCCGCGGAGGTCAGCCTGCCCCGCCCCGCCCCGCCCCGGGACCTGCCAATGGGAGGCGCAGGCCCTCGTGACGTCACGGGTCGCCGGCAGACTTCGCCCGGCCCTAGTGCCCTACTCCCGCCGCTCGGGGTGTCGGGCGCCACCTGGCGTCCGCGGCTGCGCACCGCACGGCTCGGCAGAGGGCGGAGCCGGAGACCCAGAGCGAGCAACTAAAACGTTGACCCTGCCTTCCTCGCAGTCCTGTAGCTTATCCCGGTTTTCCTTTTTTCCTGCATTACTTTTGATGTAAAGTATGGTCTACTGCTACGACTGCGTGGCTGCGTCACTTGAATGAATCCGTGTCGGGAAGGTGGCATGGCTTCCCATCCCCTTCCCCGTCCTCGCCCCCCAACTTGGTCCTGGGGACCCCACAAGCGCTCCAGGCGAGGTCTGCAGAGGCCACGGCACAGCCAGCCCTGTGGACGGCGACTGTCACCCCTCTGCTGAAGCCAGCCCCTGCTGCTGCCCTCTGGCACGGCCCTCCGGGCACGGGCACCTGAGGCCGCCTGGCTGGCTCACCTCTGCGTTCTTTGCAGCAAGCATTTAGTTCAGCCGGAGACAAGACAGCCGACGCGACCCAGGGGTGCGGCAGTGACCACGACCTCATCCAACTGAGCACACACACCGCATGCCACACACACTGGGCAGCAAATAGCCCTCTGCAGAGGGCACCCAGACAGCCCTGCCTGGTCAGGTTCTGGCTACAGCAGCTCACACAGGCAGAGGACCCTGCCTCCTGCAACTGTCCCAGGCCCCACAGACCCCAAATTCCCCAAGTCCCTACAACCATGGCACCACCTGGCCCTACGACCAGATTACCAGGGGAGCCAGGCTGCCAGGAGAGCCAGGCAGAGCATACAGGGCTCCAGGCTGACACCCATCCCAGGCTCCAGGCTGACACCCATCCCAGGCTCCAGGCTGACACCCGTCCCAGGCTCCAGGCTGACACCCATCCCAGGCTCCAGGCTGACACCCGTCCCAGGCTCCAGGCTGACACCCGTCCCAGGCTCCAGGCTGACACCCGTCCCAGGCTGCCAGGCTGACACCCGTCCCAGGCTCTTGGGGGACACCCGTCCCAGGCTCTTGGGGGACACCCGTCCCAGGCTCTTGGGGGACACCCATCCTAGGCTCCAGGCTGACACCCATCCCAGGCTCCAGGCTGACACCCATCCCAGGCTCTTGGGGGACACCCATCCCAGGCTCCAGGCTGACACCCGTCCCAGGCTTCAGGCTGACACCCGTCCCAGGCTCCAGGCTGACACCCATCCCAGGCTCCAGGCTGACACCCGTCCCAGGCTCCAGGCTGACACCCGTCCCAGGCTCCAGGCTGACACCCATCCCAGGCTCTTGGGGGACACCCGTCCCAGGCTCTTGGGGGACACCCGTCCCAGGCTCCTGGGGGACACCCATCCCAGGCGGCTGAAGCAGGCTGCACTCGGGCGCCCTCTGCTGGAGGCCTCCTGCAAGCCCTGTGCCTTGGGGAACCGCCTCCCCAGACTGACAGGCCAATGAGGCCAAGGAAGGGACTGGATTCTCCAGAATAGACAGGAACACAGGCCAGGCAGCAGTGTGGGGCAACAGGTCAGCCTGCCCTGGCGACACCAGCACCCCCATAGCAGTGTGGGGCAACAGGTCGGGCTGCCCTGGCGACACCAGCACCCCCATTGCACAGCATCAATTGTTGCTCCAGCTGCTCCACTTCCAACCAGGCTCGCTGCAGGGAGCTGGAAAAGCAGCTCTTGGGAGACCCAGATGGAAGTTCAGGCTCCTGGCTCTAGCTGACCTGGTGCGACCCGCTAGAGGCCTTCTGGAGAGTGAACCAGTGGACGGAAGGTGTAGAGGTGTTTGTGTGTGTCCCCTCTTTAATAAGGGCCAGCACTGTGGCACAGTACATTAAGCCTCTGCCTGCAGTGCAGGCATCCCATACAGGTTCCAGTTTGTGTCCCAGCTGCTCCACTTCCCAACCAGCTCCCTCCCCCTGGGAAAGCAGCCCAAGATGGTCCAAGTCGCTGGCCCCCGCACCCCCACCTGGGAGAGCACCTGGCCCAGCCGTGCGTGTTGGTGAGGGGTCAGGGTGGCCGGAGGCAGACGGACAGGATCCACAGGTGCCATTCTCATGGACACAGCCGCTGTGGGGACCTGACTCCTGTCAGATCCTGCTCGGGGTGCCCCTGGGGTCCCCGCAGCTCCACTCCTGCCCTACCCAGGCGTCCGCCTCCCTGTGACGACAAGGCATCCCTTCCCAGCTGCTGGCAGGAGCCGGCAGGGTGCGGGATTTGGGGTTCGGGTCCCTGCTCTGCCGTCCACTCGCCTCACCTCAACTCTTGTCCTGCAGAGCAGCGAGGGGGCAGCATGTACGGGGGCATGGGGAGGAGGGAGACGGAGCACAGAATGCCCTTCCAGGGGTGCCCAGCACCAGGGAGCTGACGGCGACGCCTCGTCCCCAGCCACTCACCCTGGGGTCCCCGGTCCCGGCACCCCCTCGCGCAGCGGAAACCACAGGAACCCAGCTCGCTCTGGCTGGCCCTGCCCCTCCCCGCCAGCCTCGTCCACCCCAGGGCTGGTGCTGCTGCGCCCCGCACTCAGATCCCCGGACCACAGGACTCCCCGGCCTCCCCGGCAATGGGGGGCTTGCACACACGATGGAGTCCATCGTGCCCATCCTCCAAGCCGGGGAACCCTTCACCCCTCCAGTGAGAGCAGGGGGTCAGAGAGAGGCCGCAGCAGCGGAATGCAGGCGGGCTCCAGGGGCTGGAACAGGCCGGGAAGCCCGTCCCCCGCGGGCCAGCGCCGGGCTGGCCGGAGCCCACCGCACAGATGTGGATCCCTCAGCCCGATCAGTGCCCAGCAGAGGCTGACCGTGCCAGGCCCACAGCTGGCCGTGCCCCTGGGGAACCCTGCCCCCTCCTGCTGCCCAGGTCCCCCTGACCTGTTGCTGCGGCCCAGGGACCCTGCAGCTCGCTCAGTGACCAAAGTGACCAGCAAGCGGGGTGCGGCTTTAAATGATTCCACATGCCTTGGGAGCGGCCAGCCCTCGCCCGGCACTGCCTCCAGGGGAACGGAGCACACACACGCACACACACGCACACACACGCATGCACACACACCCCGTAGCCCGCTGCAGTGCACACAGCAAGCCCACCCTGCCCCCGCCAACCACCCTGGCACACTCCCTTTTTTCCACAGCGAGACCCGGACGCTCCCAGGAGGGGTGACTTTTCCACGGGCCCCACGCCCTCCCCCTCCATCTTCCAAGTACACGCCGGGCATATTCCACGTGGCTGGCCCCCCAGGACCCCACCCGCCCAGGCTGGCGGGCCGCATACCTGAGCTCACGTCTCCCATACTGCTCTCTGCCACTGTGGCTGTGGTCCAGGAGGGTCCCTGGGCCAACAGCATCCCCGGCCTGGGGTCAGGGAAGCCTCAGCCTGGGGTCAGGGAAGCCTCGGCCTGCGGTGGGGAGTCCCTCGGCCTGGGGTCAGGGGAGCCTTAGCCTGGGGTCGGGGCGTCCCTCAGCCTAGGGTGGGGTGTCCCTCAGCCTGGGGTCGGGGAGTCCCTTGGCCTGGGGTCGGGCGTCCCTCAGTCTGGGGTCGGGGAGTCCCTCGGCCTGGGGTCGGGGAGTCCCACGTTCTGGGGTCGGGGGAGTCCCTCAGCCTGGGGTGGGGCGTCCCTCAGCCTGGGGTGGGGAGTCCCACGTTCTGGGGTCAGGGGAGTCCCTCAGCCTGGGGTGGGGAGTCCCACGTTCTGGGGTCGGGGAGTCCCTCGGCCTGGGGTCAGGGAAGCCTCGGCCTGGGGTAGGGAGTCCCTCGGCCTGGGGTCGGGGCGTCCCTCGGCCTGGGGTCAGGGAAGCCTCGGCCTGGGGTAGGGGCGTCCCTCGGCCTGGGGTCGGGAGGCCCACGTTCTGGGGTCAGGGGAGGCCGGGCCACCAGGGGGCGGCGTCGCGCTGCGGGGCGGCTCACCCCACCCGGAGCAGCCAAGCGCCTCCAGGGCCCGCCCACCCCCGCAGGCCCAGCCGGCCTATGAGGATACACAGAGCCTGTGACGTCATGAGGCGCCGGGCAGAGCGTCTGCCTGCACCAGCCGGCTTGCGCATGCGTACATGGCCCCAGGAAAAGGCGGGAAAAGGCTGAGGCGAAGGGCCAGCCCCGAGTGGCCGTGGACGGGCCAGCCCCGAGTGGCCGAGGACGGGCCAGCCCCGAGTGGCCGTGGACGGGCCGGCCCCGAGTGGCCGAGGACGGGCCAGCCCCGAGTGGCCGTGGACGGGCCAGCCCCGAGTGGCCGAGGACGGGCCGGCTCCAGCCTCACCTGCGTCAGGAGGGCGCCTGGTGGTGGCGGCGGGCGCGGCGGAGGCGCTGGTCCCCCGGGCGCGGTCCTCCTCCGGCTCCCAGGTCCAGGGCGGGTAGTCGTGGTCCTCGGGGTGGCCTGCGGGGACGCGGGCGGTCGGCGTGCGCGCAGGCGGGAGGGTCCCCCGGGCCGCCCCCCGCGCGCGGGTACCGGCGCACGTGAGCCCCACGTCCTCCTCGTGGTCGCAGTTGTGCCTGCCCCACGGCCCCGCGGGACAGCGGCTCAGCGACGCCTCGCCGCCCGCGCAGCGCACGTCGTCCAGCCAGATGGGCCCGCCGCCCGGGCCGTAGTGCGTCTTGCCCACTCGGGGCCGGACGCTGCCGCAGCCCAGCTCCCGGCAGGCCACCGTGGCGTCGCGCAGGTCCCAGCCGTCGTCGCACACCGTGCCCCAGCGCCCCGCGTGCCACACCTCCAGCCGCCCCGCGCACCTGTCGGGCCCGTCGGCCAGCCGCAGGCGGAAGGGGCCTGTGGGGCGAGGCCCGGGGTCAGGTGCAGGCCGTGGCCTTGGCCCGCCCGGCCCCCGGCGGCGCTCACCTGCGGGGCCCGCGGTGCTGGTGGCCGCGGTGGGCGCTGCCGGCCAGCCTGGGGTCTCCGCCGGGGCCTGGGGTGCGGGCGTCGGGGCGTGCGTGGTGTGCGTGGTCTGTGCCTGCGGGGCTGCGGGGGTGGCTGAGGGCCGTGCTGAGGAATGCGGGGCCCTGGAGGCTGTCGTGGTGGGCGTCACAGGGGGGTGAGGGGTCGGTCTCCTGGGGCTTTTGGTCACCCACTTCTTAGTACTCTTGGGGGTCTTCCCCGGGGCCTTGGTGGTGGTTTTCTCCGGAACGCCAGGGGTGCGACTGGCAGGGGGCTTGGTGACCGACCCCCCCGGGGGCCAGGCGTCCCGCTCTCTGCCCAGTCCCGGGAGCCAGCTCCAGCTGAAGGGGTCTGAGATGGTGTCCAGGCCCGGAGTCCCTGAAAGGCAGGCGGCAGGAAAGAAGAGCTGGGCACCGCTTGCAGGCGCGTCCCATTCCTCCCCCACTCCCACGGCCCTGGTGTCGGGGACCTGGAAGGGGAAGGGTCTCTTGGGAGTGCAGCGGCAGCCTAACCCGGCTCCTAGCGGCGTGACTGCGGAGATTCTGGAAGTGTCTGGGGACTTGGGCCGTGCAGGCGGGCAGTGCTAACAGTGTCCACACGTGATTGGCCTCAGCAGGGTGTCTGTCACCTGTCAGTACTGGGGAATTAAGTGCTGTCCACTGTGGGAGGGCAGCGGTCACTCTGAGACGCGCCCCGGTCCTCCCCTGGCCGGAAGCAGTGTGCTTCCCCTGCGATCACTGTAGCCGGGGGTTTCTTGGGGACTCCACCCCCTGCACGGGTACCACAGACAGCACCGGGGTGCCTCTTTCCTGCCGTGACGGCGAGACCAGGCCCATGTGACCCTGTCCATCCTGGCCTGCCCCAGCTCGGGGCCCCAGGAGGGCTGGTGTGGGAGCAAACAGGCCCACGGCTTGACTGCTGTCACAGCCGTGCGCCCCTGGGGGATGAAGCACCCTGCTCTGAATAACTGGTACTCTGCATGCCTCAGCTGTCTCCTGTTGCTTGAGTGTGGTCACACGGTGACAGAATGCCCAAGAGAGGGCGGGAGGACGGCTTAGGAGGCACGTTGGTGCCTGGGATGGCCACGGACAGTTAGCCATGGGTACCCAGCACGGCTGTGGGCAGTCAGCCGTAGGTGCCCCCAGAGGAGCCCAGGCAGGCAGCCATAGGTGCCCCAGGGGACCCCGGGCAGTCAGCCGTAGGTACCCCCAGAGGAGCCCAGGCAGGCAGCCGTAGGTGCCCCAGGGGACCCCGGGCAGTCAGCCGTAGGCACCCCAGTCCCAGCGGGGTGTCAGTCCGGCGTGTCCCTACCAGAGCAGGTGACCCCGACGTCCTCGTTGTGAGCACAGTTGTGTTTCCCCCAGGGAGCAGAAGGACAGTCGGTCAGTGCCACCTCCGTGCCCACGCAGTTCACATCGTCCAGCCAGATGGGGCCGGCACCCCACCCGAAGCGGCCCACCGTAGGATCCAGCTGCTGGGGTCCCCCGCAGCCCAGCTCCCTGCAGACCACAGCCGAGTCGCGCAAGTCCCAGCCATCATCGCACACTGTCCCCCAGCGCCCACTGTGCCACACCTCCAGGCGGCCGGAGCACCTGCTGGGCCCTGCCACCAGGCGCAGCTGCGGGGACCCTGGGGTAGAAAAGAGGCCAAAACATGAGGAGCAGGGAAGGTGCCAGGCTCGCGGCTCGGCTGTCAGCATTCCTTGTAGGAGCCAGGTGGAGGAGACGGCCGGGAGTCCGTCAGTGTGTGGGGAACGAAAGTATGGTTAGTCTTGGCACTGACCCCAGGGGGGTGATCGCAACAGCACAGACATTGAGACAGAAAGAAGCAAGTGGGAACACTGAGCTAAAATCAACTCCGGCACAGCAAAGGACATGGTCATTAACTGCTGGTTCCTGTCCCCACAGCCTGCTTCCCATCCAGCTCCCTGCCTGTGGCCTGGGAAGGCAGTCGAGGACGGCCCAAAGCCTTGGGACCCTGCACCCACGTGGGAGACCTGGAGGAGGCTCCTGGCTCCTGGCTCCTGGCTTTGGATCAGTCCAGCCATGGCGTTCACTTGGGGAATGAATCAGCAGAAGGAAAACCTTTCTCTCTATATATCTGATTTTCCAATAAAAGTTAAAAAAAAAATTTAAAGGCAAACCAAATAAATTTTTGGTGAGAATGTGGAGTGATGGAAGCCTCGGGCTTGCCTGGTAGAGCTGGAGGGGGCACAGCTGCTGTGGAAGACAGAGTGGGGGCCTCTGGCCAAAGTTAAAACCCAAACTAGGATGAGTCAGCGGCCCCATCTCTGCACCCATGCTGCACACATGCAGGGCGAACTGAAAGGGGGTCTGGAAGAAACAGTAGCACTTCAAGTCCATGGCAGCACTATTTGTAACAGCCAGGATGTTGAAGTTAACTAAATGTCCTGAATAGAGGAATGGATAAAGAAGATGGGGTCTGTATGCACAGACACGTGAAACACCACCCAGCCTACAAAAGCAAGGAGAGCTTGGGGCAGACACCGGCACAGCATGCTAGGCCTCTGTCTGCGGTGCCTGCGTCCCATCTGCTGGTTCCGGTGCATCTGAGGGGACGAGAGATGATGTAATCCTTGGGCTCCTGCCATCCACATGGGAGATCCAGATGACCTGACACGCCCCAGGCTGCCGCCTGGCCAAGCGTTGGCTGCCGCCGGCATTTGGGGAGTGAACCAGCCCGTGAAGCTCCATCGACCGTCTCTGCTTGTCACATATAAACTAACATTTAGGAGGAGGAAGGCGGTCCTGGTCTTTGGGATAACACGGATACAGCTTGAGGAAATAAACCAGACACCGGAAGACAAGCAGGGCCTGGTCCGCCCGTGGAAAGCATGGGGAACGGTGACAAAGACAGCACCAGCCAGTGCAGGCGGCAGACGTGAGGAGAACTTGAGACACTGGCACGCGGCATGCCCACGACGGTGGCCACCATTGCCCAGCCTTGAGATTAGACAGCTGCCTGTTTTCTGAGCTGGATGCCAGCCTGGGGGCCATGCCAGCCTGGGGGCCTTGCTGCCGCTCAAAGGATTATCCCCCCTCCCAGGGTTGCTAATCCCTAGAGGTGGTCAACAGTGACCATGCCTTTCACTGCGACCCCCTTGCCCAGAATCCAGAGCCCTTAGCCAACATCACCTGCTCCGCCGGGGCCTCACCCACTGCCCTGGTCCCTGCTGCACTGGGCAGCAAATGACGAGGGATATTTGGTCCACCCTGGAGCCCACAAAGCCCACTCAAAGCTGTCCCTGGCCTGTGCACCGGCCTCGCTGGCTCCCTGCTGGTTCCCCATGGCCTGTGTCGCGCGGCCCTTCCCCCTGAGAACCCCAACAGCTGGGACCTCACCATCTGTCGCCCTCACTGCACCTGGACAAACACATAAACCAACAGCCATCTTTAGTTCAGTCTTTCCAAAACACGGAAAGAGGAGCCCTTGCTAAGCCTCCACCTGCAGCACCAGCGTCCCGGAGGGACACCGGTTCGAGTCCCAGCTGCCCCACTGAGGATATCAAGACAGAGTTGGCGTGTGTCCTCTAAGCAGGGGCCCCTGGGAGACCATCTCAGAGCCGGGGGACACGAGGACCCCGCTGCCTGAGGGACCAGTGGGAAACTCACCAGCATCCGGGCCTGGATCCTGAGGGCTGGCCGAAGAGGGTGGAGGAGGTGCAATGCCTGCTGTTGCCAGGGCCTGGCTTGCCGCGGTGGGCAGCGGCCTGGGGGCAGCCTCGCTGGGCACGGAACTGTTGCTGCTGTCCACCGTGGGAGCCGTGGGGGGCATGTGGCCAAGCGGCATGCCTAGGGCACAGGGAGAGGCTGTGAGCTCCCACCCACCCCACCCCACGCTGGCTCCCCCATCCTCCCCGGTACACACAGCTGCCCCCTACCACCAAGCCTCTCCCTTGACCCAGCCCAGACCTTCACTTCCAGAACAGATAGAAGGCTGTGACTTGGGGGTGCTGAAGGCAAGGTGAGGGTGGAGGGTGGAGGCAGCTGTCAGGGCTGCTACCAGCAGGGGCTCAACCCAGCACTGTCCATCTTCGGGGACTGGGGACCTGCTGTGCCCTGGCCCCGCCCACAAGAGATCAGTAGCTCCATCCCAGTGAAGTGAGCGGAGGCCCGCAGACACTGCCAGCCTGTCCCCAGGGCTGGGAACTGCTGATGCCAATGGGGACCAGGAGGAGGGTCGGGAGAAGGGGAAGGGTGCCTAGGGATAAGACCCCGCACACGCCCCACACTCCCTCGCCCCCTCACCATCACACACAGCCCCAGCATCCTCGCGATGGTGACAGTCGTGCTGGCCCCAGGGCCGGGCTGGGCAAAAGCGCAACGTCGTCTCGTTCCCTCGACACCGAAGGTCGTCCAGAATAATGGGGCCGGCCCCCTCTCCAAAGAAGGCGCCGCCGGGAGCGGCCAGCGCCCCCCCACAGCCCAGCTCCCTACAGGCCACGGTGGCGTCCCGCAGGTCCCAGCCATCATCGCACACGGTGCCCCAGCGCCCACTGTGCCATACCTCCAGGCGGCCGGCGCAGCCGTGGGGGCCATCAGCCAGGCGCAGCCTGGGGGCTGGGCCTGAGGTGGGGTGGGAGAGGGGCAAGAGAGAGAAAGGAAGTTGGGATGGGTGAGCAGGCCATGAGCTGCATCCAGGGACCCTCCGCTGGGACACCCCAACCCACCCACCTTGTGCAGACACAGGCCCCACCCCAGGCCCCCAGTCTCTATAGGAAGGACAGCTGCAAGGGGCGGGCCACCTGCTGGCCCTGCATCCACTGGGGGTCTCCCACCCACCCTACCCATGGTGAACTCCACTGTGCCCCAGCACCCTGAAACCACCCCATGCCAGCTCCACCGTGTCCCTGTGTAGCCTCATGCTCAAGATCTCAGGGTGGGGTGCAGCTAGTCAGAGGGTGAGTGTACCCTGCAGGGCTGCCAGGAAGCTCAGGTGGAGGTACAAGGCCTAGCCCACCACTCACTCGGCACCTGCAGCCCTGAGCTCCCCACCCCAGCAACGGTGAACGCTGTGAACCCAGCAGCTGTTCATGGGGTTCATGAACAGAGGAGAGGGATGAGCAGATGAGGGGGGTCCCAGAGGGGAGGAGCCCCCTGGTGAGGTGGGGCAGTCTCAGCCACCACTGGCCCCAGCCCCTTGCTTCTCCCCACACCCCTAAATCACTGCCCTCCCAGGGGATGGGGCAGGGTAGGGGAGTGACGGGTGGGCTGCCTTGTTACCCTGGGGACTTAGCTGGAGCCCCAGGCAGGGCACTCCTAGTCTTGCAACCACATCAGGGAGACACGGTGGCTGGCCCCACAGAGCAGCCCAGGTCTCCGTCTGGCCTCTCTCCAAAGGCAGCGTGGTGACTACAGGTGGACGTACCCGTGCACACCAGCCCCGCGTCCTCGCTGTGGTCACAGTTGCTCCGGCCCCAGGGGCTGCGTGGACAGTCCCGCAGTGCCTGCTCTCCTCCACCACAGCCCACGTCGTCCATCCACACGGGCCCCGCACCTGGCCCGAATCGGGAGCCCCCAGGGGCGGCCAGCGGCCCCCCACAGCCCAGCTCCCGGCAGGCCACAGCGGCGTCCCGCAGGTCCCAGCCGTCATCGCACACGGTGCCCCAGCGCCCGCCATGCCACACCTCCAGGCGGCCGGCGCAGCCGTGGGGGCCTGATACCAGGCGTAGGCGCTCTGGGGGCAGAGTGGGGAGGGCGGTGAGGGGCCCAAGGGGCCCAACCATGGCTTGGGAGAAGCAGAGTCAGGGTACCCCATATCATTTGTCACCTGGGGAAATGGAGGCCCAGGTGGGGCACTGGCCTAAGGTCTCCCATCCCAGCCTCTAGAGGGAGAGAGACCCCACTGAAGTAGCTGGAACCCAGCCAGGAGCGGACCCGGACAGCGAGAAAGGAAAAGAAGTGGGATGGGGCAACGCAGAGATGGGGAGAGCCCAGGGTCCCCAGTCCAGAAGGGTACCCACCTTGCCGGGGGGCTCCAGCTGTCAGTGAGGGGGCCCGGGTGGACTTGATCTGTTTGGGCCGGGGGCTCTTTTTCCGGGGGCCATTCTGAGGGTTTCCAGCCAGGCGGGGGACTGGGAGGGGAGAGGGTAGAAGGTCAGGAGCTGGACCAAGGGCCCCTTCCCAGGGCTGCTGTGCAGGGGCTGCCCCTGGTCTGGAAGGGCCAGCGTGGGAACCTGCCCATTCCCTCGCCCCATGGCCAGAGCAGCTAAGAGAGCCAGGGAGGGGGTCCCCTGGGCGCACCAGCAATCATGGGGGGCTCCTCGGAGCTGGGGCTCTGCTCCACAGGCAGCCCAGGCCAAGGTTCCTTGGGCAGGGGTGGAGCCGACTCCTCCCTGGGACTGACCACACGTTGCCCTAGGGAGGAGAGAAGGAAGGTGGCAGAGGAGAGCCCCCAGGAGTCCCTGGGGAGAGGGGCAGGAAGAGGGACACCCAGGGGTCGTGTGGTTGTGGCCTGGAGTGGAGAAGCGATGTTAGTCCAGGGCAGGGAGAGAACTGACTTTGCAGGGGTTGGAGGACTGGAGGGCGCCCACATCGATGCCCGCCCTCACCTGCACAGACCACGCCAGCATCCTCCTCATGGCTGCAGATGTGGGCTTTCCAGCCGCGGTGGGCACACAGACCCAGCTGCCCCTCGCTGCCCCGGCATGCCAGCTCACTGAGCCACACGGGCCCTGCGCCCTCTCCAAAGAAGGCACCCCCAGGGGCGGCCAGCGCCCCCCCACAGCCCAGCTCCCGGCAGGCCACGGCGGCGTCGCGCAGGTCCCAGCCGTCATCGCACACGGTGCCCCAGTGCCCGCCATGCCACACTTCCACACGGCCGGCGCAGCCGTGGGGACCGTCAGCCAGGCGCAGCCGCTCTGGGTAAGGAGGGAAAGACCGTGACCCCAGGTAGGGGCATCTCTGAGGCCTGGGGCGTGGTAGGGGCTACAGGCCATCCTGGGGGTCCAGCCAGACTCAAGCGCTCCGAGACGCTGGTCAGACAGCAGGGGTGACAGCAGGAGGGTGCGCAGGGAGGAAGAGGGGACTTACCCACTGCCTGGGTCCCAAGCAACAGCACTGCAACAGGTGGGAGCGGCAGTGTGAAGGTGAGCCCTCACCCTGGTCACCCCGAAACACTCGCACACACTCACTCATTCCCACATACATTCACACTCACATCACAGGCACACACTCACATCTCTGAAACACAAGCCCCACACTGGGGAGCCACAGCCTGGGCACAGCCAGGTGGGGCTGGGCACTGGGCTGCTTGGCCAGAGGTCAGCTGGCTGGGTGACCTGCGTGGGATGAGGCTGAGTCTCTGAAGGGTCAGGCAGGACAGCCACATACCAAGGTACCCCTGCAGCCCCAAGGACCAGCTCCCGACTCCGGAAGTTCTGGGGCCCTGAACTAGACGCTTTCAGGGGTCAGGGGCGGGGCCCCGAGGGGTAGGGTCACTCACCGAGGCAGGCCAGGACCCTCATGTTTGCAGAGTCCAGGGGAGGGTACGTGGGAACAAGAGATAGGAGGCAGCAGAGGAGAGGGAAGGAGAGGCTCCCGCCTGCCCACCGGCCCGCCCGGGACCCACGGAAGGAGCAGGCAGGGGCCCGAGGCTTCGCCAGGAGGAAGAGGCTGTGGGGAGGCGGCAGGGGACAGGAGGGCGGGAGGGGCTGGCTCGCGGCTGAGGCATGGGGAGGAGGGGGGTGGCGGGCGGGAGGGGGGTGGCCAACAGCAAACACCCACACCGAGCCCGCCAGGCCGGCCTGGGAGCTGACAGCCGGATGGACAGCAGGCTCTGGAGGGGGACACATGGGACCCCTCACCTTCTCGCCTCCTGGAACCGACCAGGGCACCAGGAGTGGGAGGGGGTCAGACCCTAGCAAGGGCCAGGCAGGCTGGTCTGGGAGTCCAGGGGCAGCAGCAAGAGAGCCTGCAGCCAGACACCAGGAGGGACCGCCAGGCCAAGACAAAGACTAGAGAACTTTAGGCCCCCAACCCAAGGATAGGCAAGAGGAGTCGAACCGGGGACCCTAGAGGGCGGTGGAGTGGGGGGCGAGCAGGGAAGGGGCTGCACACACACACACACACACTCCCCACAGCAGGCAGCTGTGAGGTGGAAAAAATTCAGTAACAGGGAGCGTGACTCAGAGCTGGCAGGGGCCGAGGCTCTGTGAGCTCACCGCCTCCCCCAAACACAGCTCGGGGGTGGGGGGAGCCAGACAGAAGCCAGGGTGGGGGTGGAGCCGGCGGGGGGAACAGACACAGACTGGAAAAGGCATCAGAGACTGGCTGCTGGGCAGCTTGAGCCTTTATTAACAGCACAAAAACAGACACTGCGTCTCCACCCTGCCCCCAGCTCCTGCTGCCCACAGCCACCGCCTGGACTCTGCCCAGCCTGGCAGCCCACCTCCCGGTACCCACGGCCCTCGGCAGCACACACCCACCCCAGGGCGCGCTCCAATGGGCTCCCCTCCTTGGGGGCCTCGTCCCTCTGGGCATGTTCCACGTCGATCCTAACCCCGCCGGCCAGCTGCACCCGCTCAGCACCCCCTCCCGCCATGTCTCTTCCGGGCCGAGCAGGGAAAGTTCTCGGTGCAGACAGCACACGAGGTGGGCTGGGCTGGGTCAGGCACAGGGGACAGAGGACAGCAGGGGAGCGGGTTCTTTCCCTGCTGACTTCACTCAGCAGTGGCAGCAGATGGACAGATGGATGGGCAGCTGAGGGCTCCTGCCCTCGGGACCCCCTCTTCCTGGCCTCTGGTGTGCTGGGCGCTTGTGGAGGGTGTGGGTGATACCAGCATACAGTGGGTGCTCATTAGATGCGTCCACACGTGTACTCCAGCCGAGGGACTCGTGGTGGACACTGCCCAGCATACAGTGGGTGCTCATCAGAGGCTGCCCCCCCAGAAGGCTGTGCTGACAAAGGCGATGGACGCTCCGGGGGCCAGGGGTCACAGGTCCTTGCTGAAGTCCCTCACCAGCATGTACCCCATGCAGCCCCAGCCGCCCTCGGCCTGGTAGCCACAGCCCTCCAGCATCCCTGCCAGGCCCCAGGCAGCCACAGCCACAGGGACCACCAGCCTGGCCCGTGTCTCACCAGAGCCCCCCGCCCAGGCCTGAGCCCGGGACTCGGCAAAGGCCAGCAGCCTCCTGCCCACGCCCTGGCGCCGGTGCCAGCGAGACACAGACAGGCGGGTGACCCGGGCTCCACGGCCAGCACCGGTGTCACTGGGGGCCAGGGCTAGGACCCCGCACACATCCCCTGACCCCTGCACGGCCACCCACGGTCCCCCCAGGCCCCCCGGGGGAGGCAGCGAGCCCCAGCGGGCCCGCAAGCCCAGCTTCAGGGCTGCCACGGCCAGGGACACGGGCAGCAGCAGGGCCAGGGCGAAGGAGGCCAGAAGGAAGCGCAGGCCACTGCTGGCAGCCGCGAGGAGCAGCAGGGCCGGCGGCCGTGTCAGAGCGTGCAGGGCCACGCGGTTCTCCGTGTCCTTCACGCCGGCCTGCAGGGAGGGGTTCCTCAGCCAGGCACAGCACTGCACCTGCCCTGGGGGGCCCTGGTGCTGGGTGATTCAGGAGCAGGAGGGGAAGAGCTGGGACAGTGACCGCCCTGCAGGAGGCTGAGCAGGTCGTGATGGGAGCTGGCTCAGGCTGCCAGGGCTACGGGTGCAGCCTGAAGCCTGGGCCCTGCGGGGAGCCTAGGCCAAGCTAGGGCATGGGAACCCAGCTCCAACCGCTGGTGCGACAAGTCCCAGCCAGGACACCTCTTGGGGAGTGCCAGAGGCCTCGGTGTCCCCAGCACGCGCCCCCAGGGCTCACCTTCAGCATCTCCAGGACCAGGGGCTTCTCATCCTCTCTCATCTCTCGTACTGACAGGTGGCCGGGCGCCATGGCAGCCCTCCAAGCGCCCACCACCCCACGAGGGAGCTGGTTTCGTGCACCTGGCAAGATCACATGGAGGTCAGCGCGAGGGGAGAGGGGAGGCAGCCCGTGCTCCCCGTCCCACCCCGGGGTGCAGAGCCATCGCAGCGTGTCCCCAGGGCGCTGAGGCCCCCTCCCCCGGGCGACTGCTCGGGTCCCGCATGCGTCTGGGCAGTCCCAGCACGGGGGCTGTCCCCGGCTCGCCTCCCGCCCCCACAGCGTCACGGAGCCGCGAGCACCTGCTGCGACGCGCTGCGACCAGGTGCGGGGCAGCGGGGTCGGGCAGGGGTCGCGAGCGGAAGTGGCGTCAGATTCGCGCAGGGGTGAGGGGAGGAGCGGGCTCCTGGCCTCGAGCCGCCGTGGCCGAGCTCCCCGGGAGCAGCGGGCAGGGGGCACGCGCAGGCCGGAGCCGTGACCCCGCCGCGTGACCCCCGGCCCCCAGCGGAGAAGCAGCGGCGGAGAGACCGGCACGGCCGAGTGCGCCCCCGCGCGACGTCCCCGCGTCGCCCGGCAACCGGGCGCGGGAGGGCGGTGACGGCTGCGGGCGCACGCCCATTGGCGCCCGCGCCCTCGCGGGAGGGGTGGCAGCCGGGCTGGCCGGCGCACCCGCCGTCCCCGGGGAGCCCTCGCCCGCAGCCCGCGCTCTCTCCAGCTGGGCCTCCTGGCCCGCCAATGACCAGGACTGAGAGCCCCGCCTCTCCTCCCACCCGGCACCCCCTTAGCACCCCAAGGAAGAGGAGAGAGCACAGATCCTAGGTCTTTATTGCCACACCCGACGCCCCTAGCCCAGCCAGCCAGCGAGCGGGGTTTGGGGGGCGGCCCAGAGGCGCCCGCGGGGCGTCAGAACGTGTGCACCAGCTGCACCGAGGGCAAAGTCTGCACGATTTGGATGGAGGGCAGGCCCTGCGGGGCCGTGCCCGTGGGGACCACCTGTACCATCTGGGAAGCGGGGAGTGCGGCAGGGGCCGGTGCCGGGCCGGGCGGGGCCGGCGGGGCCAAGAGCTGCAGCGTGGCCGCCCCGCCGCTGTCCAGCAGCTCGGTGGCGGGGGAGCTGCGAATGATGAGAAGTTTCTGGCCAGGCGGGCAGGGGGCGGGCAGGGGCTCCAGGTCCTGCACACAGAGCCGGGTCTGCTCCCCGTCGGCCCCGCTCAGCACCAGCACACTCTGCAGCCCCTCCTCCGTCTGCAGTGTCTCCAGCAGCACATCCTGGACCACTCCAGGGCTGGCCTCCCCAGCCCCTGCCTCCTCCGCCGCGCCACTCTCAACCACCAGCAGGTTAGGGGCCTCGGTGGTCACAGTTCCCCCACTGGCACTGGAGAGCTGTCCTGCCACAGGCTGGAGCTGGACGGTGGTCACCTCCTGGGCTGGCTGGAGCTGGACGGTGGTCACCTCCTGGGCTGGCTGCAGTTGAACCCCGCTCACTTCCTGTGGCCCTGCCTCCCCGGCCCCCACGTTCTGCAGGACAATGAGACTCTGCCCAGTCGTGCTGGTCCCTGCACCGCTTCCACCCTGTCCCCCGAGTCCACCAGGGCCCGGCAGCCACACCACACCGGGCCCCTGACTGGTTTTCCCCTCTGCCCGGGGACACTGCTTCGCGCGGCTGCCCCCACCGCCAGCACTGGAGGGCAGCAGGAGCAGTTTGGGGGGCGCCGGCGGCGTTGGGGGCGCAGGCGGCTGGACGCTACTGGGGATCAGCTGTAGGCCCTGGGCCGACTGCACCAACAGGAAAGTCTGGGAGTTGGGGGCCGCTGGGCCCGGGGCCTGGGCCGTGCCGCCGGCCACCTCCAGGGACAGCGTGGCCTGGAGGTGTGGGAGAACATGGACATCCTGGGTGGCGAGCGGGGCCGGGGCGGCGGCCAGCGGGGCAGGCGGGTGGGGGGCGGCAGGGGCCGAGGAGCCAGCGGCCGCATTGGCAGGGGCGTGCGTCCTCATGTGGCGCTGCAGGTAGGCGGCCATGACGAAGCCGCGGCCGCACACGGGGCAGGCGAAGGGGCGCTCCGCCGAGTGCGTGCGCTGGTGCAGCAGCAGGTTGGAGGAGTGCGTGAAGGTCTTGGGGCAGAGCGGGCAGCGGAAGGGCCGCTCGCCCGTGTGCACGCGCTGGTGCTGCCGCAGGTTGGAGGTCTGCGCGAAGCTCTTGCCGCACACGCTGCAGGCGTGGGGCCGCTCCCCCGTGTGCACGTGGCGGTGGCGCCGCAGGCACGACGTGTTGCGGAAGGCCTTGCCGCACTCCCCGCACGCGTAGGGCCGCTCGCCCGAGTGCAGCCGCAGGTGGTACTGGTAGTGCGAGGACCACTTGAAGGTGAGGCCGCACTGGCCGCAGGTGAAGGCGCGCAGCCCGGTGTGCACACGCTGGTGGATGGCCAGCAGCGAGGAGCGCTTGAAGGCCTTGCCGCACTCGCCACACTGGTACGGCCGCTCGCCCGTGTGGTCCCGCAGGTGGTACCGCAGCCCCGAGGAGCCCTTGAAGGCCTTGCCGCACTCGGCACACTTGTAGGGCCGCTCGGCAGAGGCCGGGGCAGGCGGGGGCTGTGGCGGGGCAGGGGTGGCAGGGACCAGCGGCTCCTGGGGACAAGTGACCTCAGCCGCCTCAGCCTGGGGGGGCGGGCGCCCCGCCGCCGCTTCCTCCACGTGGCACTGCTGGTGCGCCAGGAGGCTGGAAAGCTGGGGGAAGGCGCCATCGCAGCTGCCGCAACGGAACGCCTGCCCGGCGGCGGTCCCGTGGCTGTGCTGGTGGCGAGAGAGGCCAGCCACTGTCCGGAAGGCCTTCCCGCAGGGCAGACAGGCGAAGCCAGAGACGCCGGCGGCGGGCGGCTGGGGCAGCGCGGGCACCGCGGGCGGGTCGGCCTTGGGCGGCTCGGGAGGGGAGTCCTGCGGTGGCGGCGCCGCCTCGGGCCCCGGGCACGGCTGGTGCTCCAGGAGCAGCTCCTCGCTGCAGAAGGCCTGCTCACAGCCGGCGCAGCGGTACACCAGCTCCACCGTGGTCTCGGCCGCGGCCAGGAACAGCTCGGGCACCACCGGCGGGGGCGGCGGCGGCGGCGGGGGCACGGGCGGGCTGTGGGGCTGCAGGGACGGCGGCAGGTAAGCGTCTGTCACCAAGACCTTGCCGCCGCAGGGCTCACAGGGCGGCGGGGGCGGCGGCGGGGGCTGCGCGGGGGCCGGGGCAGCGGGCGCGGGGCCGTGCGTGCGCTGGTGCAGCAGCAGGTTGGAGGAGTGCGTGAAGGTCTTGGGGCAGAGCGGGCAGCGGAAGGGCCGCTCGCCCGTGTGCACGCGCTGGTGCTGCCGCAGGTTGGTGCTCTGCGTGAAGCTCTTGCCGCACACGCTGCAGGCGTAGGGCCGCTCCCCCGTGTGCACGTGGCGGTGGCGCCGCAGGCTGGACGAATTCTTGAAGGCCTTGCCGCACTCCCCGCACGCGTAGGGCCGCTCGCCCGTGTGCTGCCGCAGGTGGTACTGGTAGTGCGAGGACCACTTGAAGGCCAGGCCGCACTGGGCGCACGTGAAGGCGCGCAGCCCGGTGTGCACGCTGCGGTGGATCTGCAGCAGCGAGGAGCGCTTGAAGGCCTTGGGGCAGTCCGGGCAGGCGTACGGCCGCTCGCCCGTGTGGTCCCGCTGGTGGTAGAGCAACGCAGAGGAGCCCTTGAAGGCCTTGGGGCAGTCCGGGCATTTGTAGGGCCGCTCGCCCGTGTGCGTGCGCTGGTGGTGCAGGAGGCGGGAGGACCACCGGAACGACTTGCCGCACTCCCCGCACTCATACTGAGCCGCGGGGGCGGGGGCCGCGGGGCCCGGCTTCTCGCCCGCGCCCTCCGTGGTAGAGGCAGGCGCCATGTCCGCGTGGGAGCCGACCATCACACCTGGTGGAGGGATCCGGAGTCAGGGGGACGCTGGGGCACAGGCCCGCCTACCCCCACAAGCTGCTCAGCCCAGAACCTCGCTGGCCAGCTTTCCGGGTGGACCACCGCCCTCGGATTTCAAGCTTCCAGTGGCCAGCTGTGCCGGGGAAGGGACCACTGGCCGGGCGGGGCAGGTGGCTAGTTGCTCAGAAGCTCTGGCCTCCTCCCGGGAGCCCTCGGGGCTGTGCTCCCTCCTTGCGGAGACCAGCCAGAGACCTCTGCGACCCTGCTTCCTTCCCGCCTGCGCTGCCCACGCTGCGTTCCTCCCACCCTTGACTCCGACTCCAGCCCCTCAGGGCCGTGGCCGCCACCACCCTGCCTTCTAGCTCACCCTAAATACTGTTTGCTGCGAGCACTGCTGCCGCCAGCACGGTGCCCGCGCTCCCGTCTCCCTCCGCATAAAGCTGACCACCCTCCCTGCGTGCCCGGAGCCGGGAGGCCCACTGCGCACACCCGGGCCAGCAGCCCGCTCCCCCAGCGTGCACAGGCCCGCAAGCATCCCCTCTGCGCACGCCCACCCTGCGGTACTCGCAGTTTCTCTTCCCACCAAATATCCCGCGGCCCCTCCCTCCGGCCTGATCATGCCAGTTCCTGAGAAAACGAAAGCAACTCAACCACACAGGGAACTCTCAGCTGAGAACCCAGGGGTGTCGGTCAGCTGCGGGGGCAGGCTCCAGTGGCAGAGGCCAGGGACTCTTCTCACTACCACCCACGGGGCACAGGGCAGGCCCACAGGACAGACCCACGGGGCACGGGGCAGACCCACGGGGTAAAGGGCAGGCCCACAGGGTGAACCCACGGGGCACAGGACATACCCACGGGGCACAAGGCAGACCCACAGGGCACAGGACAGGCCCACAGGGTGGACCCACGGGGCACAGGACATACGCACAGGGCACAGGACAGGCCCACGGGGCACAGGACATACCCACAGGGCACAGGACATACCCACAGGGCACAGGACAGGCCCACAGGGTGGACCCACAGGGCACAGGACATACCCACAGGGCACAGGACAGGCCCACGGGGCACAGGACAGGCCCACGGGGCACAGGACATACCCACAGGGCACAGGACAGGCCCACAGGGTGGACCCACAGGGCACAGGACATACCCACAGGGCACAGGACAGGCCCACGGGGCACAGGACAGGCCCACGGGGCACAGGACAGGCCCACAGCTGAGCAGGATCTTGTCTGGTGGGGCAGTCTCGGGCTCAGAGCTGTCACCTGCCTGGCCCGTTGCCCACACCACCAATCTTTGCATACACCCAGGCTTGACCCCGTTGGGGCTCCCACCGGTCCTTATTCCCACACTTCTAGAACACAAAGCACTGTGCGTGGGCCTCTACCCACCGCTCAGCACAGGGCAACTACTTCCATCCACACCCAGCCTGCCCAGCACCTGCTCCAGGTCCCACTGGGGACCTCCCTTTCAACTCGCGAGGCCCCTGCCAGACAGCGTGCAGGGACCTGCCACCTGGACTCCAGCCGGACTCGGCCCACAGCCTCCGCGCCCTGACAGCCGGTGCCTGCCAGCTCCCACCTCGGCTCCGGCCCTCTCCCAACCCCGCGGTCCCTGACGGTGCAGCTCTAGGGACCCTCAGCAGCAAGGTCACCCCAGCCCTGACATCCCATGTGGGCACCGGTTCGTGTCCCGGCTGCTCCACTTCCATCCAGCTCCCTGCCTGTGGCCTGGGAAAGCAGTGCAGGACGGCCCCTAGCCTGGGACCCTGCACCTGTCGGGGAGCCCTGCCTGCAGCGCGGGGTTCCATGGCACAGGCCATGGTGACTATAATAGGGGGGGTCGGGGAGAAGCAGTGGATCAAAGAGTCCCTCGTCTTTCAAATAAATGATAAATGAACCTTTTTACAACTTTAATAAATAAGGCCTCCAGCGGCTCCCCCTCCTGACTGTGCTGGCTTCCACCACTGTGCCACCCTGCCTTCCGGGGGCGCCCGCCTCGCCCTGGGGGCACCCGGTGGCACCCGCTGCCACGCCTTCCCACACCCCCCATGCTCTGCTGCTTGTTCTGCCAGCGCCGGGGACTCCTGCCTCCTGCACTTCCGTCCCACTGACTCTGCACGCCTCCCAGAGCGGCGACCCGCGTCATGGCAGCATGCAGGCTAGGCGTGAGCGCGGCCGGGTGTCCACACTTCGGGCGCGCACGGCCGCCCACCAGGGCTGCCCAGGCAGCCCCCAAGCCGGCCCACGCCCCGTCGCGGGCTGACGGCCCCTTTCAGACGGGGCACCTGGGTGGGTTCAACCGGCGAGCCCTCGGGAGCGCCCGGGACTCGGGTTCCCTTGCGGCGGGAGGCGGGAGGCGGGCGGGCCGCGCGTCCTGCCCTTTAAGAGGGCGGAGCCGGCCCGGCGGGCACAAGTCGGGGGGCTGGAAAGGCGCCCTCCCCTTTAAGGCGCCCCTTCCGGTCTCACGCTCCCGGTCCCCCGACGTCGCCGCCCCGCCCCTCCCCCAGCCCGCCCTCGGTCTCACCTGCGGCCCCGGCCCGGGGAGCGAGGACGGGGCGCCCGGGGCGTCCCCGCGGGGGCTGGCGGGAAGGCGGTGCCCCGGTGCGGCGGAGCGGGACGGGGGGCCGGGGAGGGGCGGGGGCGCTCCCTCCCGGCGGCCCCCGGCGCGCGGCACCCAACCTTTACCGGCGGCCTCTCGCGCACACAAACCCCGGCGTCGCCGTCGTGCGTCAGGACGCACGCACGCACGCACGCGGGGGCCGCGCCCTGGGCTGGCCGCGGGCGCCGGCGCCGCGGGGCAGCCTGGGAGTTGTAGTTTCCCGGCGCGCCCCGCCCGGGGCTGAGTGTTCCCCCCAGGCGCCTGGCCTTACTGGGGACCCGGGGGTGGGGGGCGTCCTTGACGCGGCCCTGGCCCTCCCCACCGCGCGGCCCCTTCCCGCGGCCTTCCCCTCACCGGCTCCGCGCGCTCCTGGAAGACTGGCACACGAGGGTTGCAATAATTTATTTATTTTGCTGCAAGCAAAATAAACTGACCTGGGAACCCCGCTTTCCGGGCAGCAAGAAGGAGGTCTGCCCTTGCCAGCCAGACCTCCTGCCTCCAACCCCGAGGCCTTGGCCCGTGAGCGGTTCTTACAGCGGTTTTCACAGGTCCCTGCCCTGTAGGACAGACCCTGGCCTGCAGGTGGACCCTCTTCACTCCTGTCACAGCGGCACCCCTGCTGCCCAGCTTGCCCCAAGGCAGTGGGGGACAAGCAGGTGCCAGGGCCCTTGGGATGACGCCTCGGGCCAGCACGGTGTCCAGCTCAGTCCAGGCCCCAAGCAGTCCCAGGGATGTGGACAGAGATCCCATGACAGTGCACGAGTGCGCGTGCGCGCGTGTGTGTGTGTGTGTGTGTGTGTGTGTATGTAGGCCCCTGTGTGTGAGTGTGTAGGCCCTTGTGTGTGTGTATGTAGGCCCCTGTGTGTGAGTGTGTAGGCCCCGGTGTCTGTGTGTGCGTGGGCCCTGTGTGCAGCCCTGCCATGGGAGGACGGGGACACGGGGGCTTCTCGCAGGATCCCGTGGCCAGAAAAACACACAGAAATGCCTGCAAGAAGGGTGGGGCTGGAGCTGTGGCATAGCAGAACATCCCGCAGGGAGTTAGGATGGCCCGAGTGGTCAGGCTGCACCCCCGTGGGAGACCCAGCAGCAGCTCCTGGCTTCGAACTGGACCAGCTCTGGCCACTGTGGCCATTTGGGGATTGCACCAGTGGGTAAAAAAATACCTCTCCTCTCTGACTCTGCAACTCTGCTTAAAAAACAAAAAAAAAGAATCCTTAAAATTTGTTTTAAATAGGAAGAAGGCTGGGAGTTTGGCACTGGCCCTTCCCTTGGGTCTCCCTGATGCCCCATTGCTCCTGCTGCACCCTCGGGGTCCCTGCCCCCGTCAGAGCCTGAGCTGATTTGGCCACCACTGCATCCTCCCGCCGAATACAGCAGGCGCTCAGTCAGTGTGCAACAGCAGGGTGAGGTGGCAGGAGCCTGGGGAACAGGTGACCTGTTGGCACATGCAGCACAGGGCCTGGCAGCCCGGCTGCAGGAGGGTTTCAATGCCCTCTGGTGGGGCAGGTGGAGGTCAGCACCCACCGGCTGTGGGACCCCCCCCAAGTATGGCTCTGGGCTTTTGCTGGGAGTGGCAGGTGCTCCAGCCACACAGGGCACCAGGCCCTTGCCGGCGGGCGCTGCGGGGCCCACTCCTCTGGCCCCGTGCCAAGGCAGCCTGAGCCAGCTGCCCTCTCTTGGTCTTGGACGTCTGGGGTTTGTCCAGGACACACACGGAGCCTGAGAGACCTGCCAGTGGGTGGAGTCCAGAGGGACATGAAGAGTGGATGGGGTGCAGTCCAGGAGGGGTGCCAGGGTGATGGTCCCGCAGTCACCACAGTACTGGAGACCCCGGGAGGTGGCTCGCAGTCCCTGACATTGCTGCCACCAGCCCCTGACCCTGGGGGTGGGGTGGGGTGCCCAGGTCCCTCTGTAGTGTCCCTGGGGACAATGCGATCCCGGCTCCTGGCACAGCTCCTCTCCTTGGACGACAGACCTTGGGGACATGACAGCACCCCCTCTACACAGAAACTCAGTTTGTCCCAGGGAGATGCCAGGTCTGGAGCCAGGGGAAATTACAGGCGCAGGTGGACGTCCACTCCATCCGGGGAGCCTCTCCTGAGGACTCCAATTAAAGGCCCTCAGGGCTAATCGCGGCGGTTGACACGGCTCTGCGGGCCTCAGCCTCGCCTGCCACTCGCCTGCCAGCCGAGGCCATTGTCCCCTTAATTGGCTATCTCCAGGCGCACCCTCCCACCAGCCCCAGGTACCGTGGATCCCAGGTCCAGCTATGTGCTAATTGGGCACAGGGAGGGAAGGCAACCTGGGGCGGAAAGCGCCCTCCTCTCACGGCCCCACGACTGCCTATATCAGCCCCTCACCTGCTGTGGCGGGGGAGACAGAGGGACAGGCTTGGGCCAGTGCTGCCCTCCGTGGCAGCAGCACTGTGGGATCACCGAGCCATGCACCCCGGCAGCCCCACAGCCCCTGGGGTCTCTGAGCCAAGCCCCCACGAGCTGTGTGCCTTCGTGAGGGGCGCCGCGGCCCACATGCTGCGGGCCCTGCACCCCCGGCGCCTCCGGCCCCCCAAGAGGAGACCCAACCACAGGCGCTTCCTGCACAACCAGATCTGCAGGTGAAGGGAGAGGGAAGCTGGGGTTCGGTCTGGGGGAGCCCCCAGGTGGGGTGCGTGAACCCCTAGGTGGGGCGCGTGAGTCCCCAGGCAGGATGTGTGAGCCCCCAGGTGGGGTGCGTGAGTCCCCAGGTGGTGTGTGTGAGCCTTCAGGTGGTGTGTGTGAGCCCCCAGGCGGGGTGTGTGAGCCCCCAGGCGGGGTGAGTGAGCCCCCACGTGGTGTGTGTGAACCCCGGGGTGGTGTGTGTGAGCCCCCAGGCGGGATGCGTGAGCCCCCAGGCAGGATGCCTGAGCCCCCAGGTGGTGTGTGAGAACCCCAGGGTGGTGTGTGTGAGCCCCCAGGCGGGGTGAGTGAGTCCCCAGGTGGTGTGTGTGAACCCCCAGGTGGGGTGAGTGAGCCCCCAGGCGGGGTGAGTCCCCAGGTGGTGTGTGTGAGTCCCCAGGTGGTGTGTGTGAGTCCCCAGGCGGGGTGAGTGAGCCCCCAGGCGGGATGCGTGAGCCCCCAGGCAGGATGCCTGAGCCCCCAGGTGGTGTGTGTGAGCCCCCAGGCAGGGTGTGTGAGTCCCCAGGTGGTGTGTGTGAACCCCCAGGCGGGATGCGTGAGCCCCCAGATGGTGTGTGTGAACCCCCAGGTGGGGTATGTGAGCCCCCAGGCGGGGTGCGTGAGCCCTCGTGGAGCTGTAAGCATTTCCTCAGTGCCCACTGTAACCCAAGTCAGATGAGACAGAACCCTGATCCACAAGCAGAGGGTGTGTGGTGTGAGGCCAGTGCTAGGACCCCACCGCGGGCAGGCCTCCGAGGGCCCCGCGGGCAGGGCTGGGAGGAGCTGGGGGACAGGGGTCTGACCTCAACAGTGGAGCTGCATGCTGAGTCAGACAGCCGGGCTTGGTGCTTGGGGCCATCAGGTTGTGTGGGTGATGAGGGTCCCACAGGTTCCGCCCTGAAGCCCCCCGAAGTGAAACTCAGACCAGCCCCAAGTACTGCTCTTCCCTGGGGCCGGGAGAGAGCCTGGGGCAGTGCGTGGATGGGGAAGGCGGGGTGGCAGCCCCCACCAATGCCTGGCTTGTGCCAGCACCCTCTGTGGCTCCCCCGCACCCTGCCAGAGGCCTGCATCACTGGCAGGATCCCTCACTGGCCTCTGGGACCTTCCAGTGCCCTCCTACGCCAGCCTCCCTCCTGCCCGGCCCCGTCCTCACTCCCCATCGGGCCAGGCCACCTGCTGAGGCCTTCAGATCGGCATGTCACCGGACGCTCCTGACAGGCTGGCATGGTGCCACCACAGGCTGGCGAGGGTCAGAGAGGTTTGGTGTGTTGGCCCAGTGACTGTGCTGAGGGGATGACATTGGTGGGGGTGGATGACAGCGGACACAAGGATGGCGGTGAGTGTGACAGTGACGAAGGAAGCTAACTGCTACAGGGCCCTTGACATGAAGGGCCTTCAGAGTGTGGAACAGGCGGATAAGGAAAGGCACACCGTGCAGTCGTGTTCTCTGCCAGTGTTCTGGACCGCCCTGTGTGTGCCAGGCACTGTACTCGGGCTCCGGCAGGGGTCACCGTCAGCACTGGCTGGCCTTGAGGTTAAACCCCTCTGTGCCCTCCACCTGGCCAGCCTGGGAAGGCGGTGCTGTCCTAACTGTCCCCTCTCCCACAGCACAGCTGAGGGTACCTTTCCTGGGAGATTAACACGCACACACATGCATACCTTCAGACACACACCCGCACACACGCATGCCTCTACACGGAGTTCCACCAACTTCCTCTTTAATGCTGCTGGCTGGGGCAGGAGCGCCTGAAGCTGGGCGTATGGGGTTGGGGAGCCCCATAGGTGTCACCCTCAAGGTCATCCCCAGGGCAGCCAAGGCCAGCAAGGATGCCCAGAGGTGGGCAGACTCCGCAGCAGCCGGACAAGTGGCTCCCGTTGCTTGTGGACGATGCAGGTCCACCGCCGACCCACAGCTCCCCAGCCATGACCATCAACCTGTGGCCTCGGAAATGTGCAGCCTGTTGAGGTGCAACGCCAGCGGCCGGCCAGAGCAGACACAGAGCACACCCGGGCCACCCAGACTCCTGACCAGAGGCGGAGGTGGGAAGGGACAAAGCGGGGTGCCCCTCCACGGTCACCCAGCCAGCTCCCGTGTCTCTGTAGGCAGTTCGCCCAGATCGAAGCGGCCACCCAGCGCCTGGCCCTGTCCATCCTGTCACAGGAGGTGCCTCCACGGAGACCGCAGCCCCTGAGGCCTCCTCCGCCGCCGCCATCCCCTTTCCTGGGGGTGGCCCGCGCCTTGGCGCCCTCGGAGGGGCCCCACGCCGGCCGCAGCCTGAGCCTCGCTGCATTGGACAGCTCCACCCTCGACCTCTTCGAGGACATCACTCTCACGCCCGAGGATCCCTGGGTGCCCGCCAATGCCCCTGCCCCGAGGCTGCTGGCAGCAGCTCCTACCCAGGGCACCCTGGGCCAGCCGGACCTGATGCAGGTGGCGCACTGCCCCAGCGCCCTGACCCCTGCCCTGCAGGCCCCGGGGAGCGGGCCTGATGTCGGGGCTTCTGGCTGGGCCTGGGAGGACAGCTGGGAAGTTCCCTGGGCCCGGGAATCTCCTGAGGGCTGGGGGGCCTGCTCCCCGTGATAGCTGGTTACAGCCCAGCCCAGGCCCAGGAGGAGGCCTGGCCCACCCACTCCCTGCTGGTAGCACACCCGCAGCTGCTGCTGCTGCCCCCAGGCCAGCGTCCTGGCTCCCATCTCCCCCGTCTTACCCTGGCTCTGCTGCCCAGTGTCCACTCCCTCACGCCGGCTGAGCACCGTGCAGGGACCAGCCCCGCGGCGCTCACCACTGTCGGCCGGGAGAGCAACTCAATAAAGGGGTACACGACAATGAAGGGTTTCAGATGGTAGCGAGAGCTGGGAAGGCATTACACCGTGAGCTGCTGGAGGGGCCGTGGACAGCCGGGGACAGGGGCAGGCCTCTCTGGCCAAGAAGCGTCCGCGAGAAGGTTCCAGAAGGAGGCCCAGAGGCGGGCACAGGGGCCAGGCGTTAGTCAAAGGCAGGTCCCGGTGTCGATATTGTTCCAAGATGGGGGGGGATTTGGGGCTTTTCCTCTCTCTCCCCCACCCCCATTTCCAAGCTCAGAATCCGAACAGCGCCAGGCTTCAGGCCCCAGGCCCTGCCCCGACGCGGACACGCCGCCCGCCCCCTTCCTCACGTCCTTTCCGGTCAGCACCGTGGGACCCGAGCTACCTGCCGTCCCCAGCTTGAACCCACTGCCTCCGGCCAGTCACGCCCTGCGCGACTCCCCATTGGTCAACTGCGCTCCCGCCCCCTGCCGCAGACCAATCGCGTCCTTAGAATGGGCGGTCGGGCCAGCCCCGCGAAGCACTTTGAAAGAGCGTGAACGATTGGCCGGAAGGCAAAACTGGAAGGCGCTGATTGGGTTGCTCTGCCCAGGAGGACGGGACCAGACCCTGAGCGCGAAGCAGTTCTGCGTCTGGATTGGCCGAGAGGGAAGGGCAGAGCGAGGCGGGCAGAGCGAGGCGAGCGCCGATTGGAGGGTTCGGTGGGCCGTGGCCGCACGCAGCCTAACGGTGACCTTGCCCGGTCCCGGGAGGGCCGGACGGGCTTCCGGAGTGCGGACGCTCGGCGGGACGTGTCGGCGCCCGGAGCCCCGGGGTAAGTCCGCGCCCGGGACCCGGAGCCGCGCAGGGGGAAGGACGTGGGACCCCTGGCCCCGGCCCCGCGAGGAGCACCCCCTGCCCGCTCCGGCACCCGAGCGGACACAGGGCTCGGGGACCCCAGCCCTGCCGTCGTGCCCGCTCCCTTTGACCTGTGGCCGGTGGACCCCGCACACGCCACGCACGATACTCAAAGAAGGATCTTCCCTCTGCTGCAAGTGGCTGCAACAGCCGATCGGAAGCCAGGAGCCCGGAGCCTCTTCCGGGTCTCCAGTGCGGGTGCAGGGGCCCAAGGCTTTGGGATTGTCCTGTCCTGCTTTCCCAGGCCACAGGCAGGGAGCTGGGTGGGAAGTGGGGCAGCCGAGACACGAGCCAGGGGACCATGTGGGATGCCGGCAGTGGCTTGGACTTGGCCGGGGCTCTGAGCTCTTACTCCACACATTTGCTCGGCTGGTTTCCAGCTGGCATCGGCCCTTTATAAAGAATGTTTATGGCTGACCAGTGGACTTGAAAAAGAAAGACCGAGCGTCACAGGCCTTCACCACTTCAGTGCTTCCTGCTCCCGGGACGGCCAGCAGAGCCCGGCCGTGGGGTTCTGTGGCTGCAGGGCTGATCAGGGCACGGGCTGCCCGCTCGCGTGCTGGGACTGCTCCTCTGCCCGGCCCACAGTCCACTCGCCCTTGCAGCCTTCCGTTCCGGCGGGCGGGATATGCCGACCTGTCCTGTGGGTGCTGGGCCCTGTTCTAAGAGGGCTCACGGGAACAGCGGCCAGTCAGGGTGCAGGCCTGCTTCTGCTGGGACACAAAACAATGCAATCTACTCTCTTGAGGGCACACCTTCAGCATGGCGCCTGGGTTTGAGTCCCGGCTCTAGTTCCTCCAGCGCCATGCCAGTGTGACCCCTGAGATGCCCAAGTCCCCTGGGTGAGAGACCCTGACTGCAGCCCAGCCCGGCCCTAGCTGGTGAGGCATCTGGGCAGTGAACCAGTGGATGGAAGATGCTTCTCTGCCTCTCTGCCTTTCACATGAGTGAATCCGAGTGCACAGCAGGCGGGGTGTGAACACAGGTCTCCATGGCAGTTTGCCCAGTATCCCCCAGAGAACCCTGCACTCCACACGCCTTGCCACCTGAAACCCGCCTGCTGCCGCTCTTGTCATCCGCTCACACGTGTGCATTCCCAACCACGGTCCCCTCTGCGGGTGGCTGTGCAGGTGTGGGCCCCCCGAGCTTGTTCCTCCCAGACCGGGCAGCTCAGGTGGAGGTGTGGGTGCAGGAGTCAAGGGGGGCTCAGTGGTGAAGACCCTCAGGGCTTCGCAGTCCCCATGGGCAAGGGGGACACACATATGTCACATGCGGGCTCCAGGCCCGTGCTCAGGCCTAGCTATCCCTGGGCAGTGCGGATGGACCCGGCCACCGGGGACGCAGCAAGATGGACAGGCAGACACTGGGAGCACAGCTCAGTGTCCCGGGATGGAGTGGATGGAGCGGGCTCCAGGCCAGGGAGCCGGAGTGCCCGGTGCACAGGCCCTGGCCAGGTGGGGGATGCAGTGGGGCGGAGGGGGACACCTCCCGGAGCTTCCCTGCTGTCCCCTTAGGTGATGGCGGCAGCTGCGAGGCCTGGGCTGGGCCGAGTGCTCCCTGGATCCTCCATCCTGTTCCTGTGTGACATGCAGGAAAAGTTCCGCAGCAGTGTCAGCTACTTCCCACAGATCGTCGCTGTGGCTGCACGCATGCTCAGGGTGTGGGCCTCCTCCCTCAGACCAGGGTCCAGCCCGGTCCTCCTTCCTCAGACCAGGGGTCCAGCCCGGCCCTCCTCCCTCAGACCAGGGGTCCAGCCCAGCCCTCCTCCCTCAGACCAGGGTCCAGCCCGGCCCTCCTCCCTCAGACCAGGGGTCCGGCCCGGCCCTCCTCCCTCACACCCAGGGGTCCAGCCCCTCCTCCCTCACACCCAGGGGTCCAAGTCCATCTTCCTACAGATCCAGGCCTGTCTTACTACCCTGTGCAGGTGGCCCAGCTGCTGGAGGTGCCAGCTGTGCTGACGGAGCAGTACCCACAGGGCCTGGGCCACACGGTGCCAGAGTTGGGGGCAGAGTGCCTGCAGCCCGTGACAAAAACCTGCTTCAGCATGGTGCCCGTGGTGCGGCAGGAGCTGGACAGCCGGCCTCAGGTGCAGTCCGTGCTGCTCTGCGGCATCGAGACCCAGGCGTGCATCCTGGTGAGCACCAGGGGCTCCCCATGCGGAGGTCTGGCTCCCCGACCCCATCCTCACCCGGAGTCCATGCTTGCTGCTTCCTCACCTGGCTCCCTTCTCCCTCCTGGGGTTGGTCCTGATCTTGTGCCCCCAGAACACAGCCCTGGACCTCCTGGACCGGGGGCTGCAGGTCCACGTGGTGGTGGATGCCTGTTCCTCCCGCAGGTGAGCTCGGGGAGGGGCCTGTGGGCGCACCCACGTTCCTGGCAAATATGACGGACACATGCCCCTCGCCCGCAGCCAGGTGGACCGGCTGGTGGCACTGGCCCGCATGCGGCAGAGTGGAGCTTTCCTGTCCACGAGTGAGGCGCTCATCCTGCAGCTGGTGGGGGATGCCGCCCACCCCCGGTTCAAGGAGGTAGGTCCCAGCCCCACAGAGACCCCCACACCCTGCAGAGAGAACGGCCTGGGTGCTTCCTGGAGCAGGCGGCTTTAGCAAGGATTCTCGGAAAGAGAAAGGCCGCCCTTAGCACCCCACACCCGCCCCTGTTCCTCAGCCAGGTCAGGCTGCAGCACCCGCTCCTCCAGTCTAGTGGGGTACTCCCAGTGCTGGGCTCAGGAGCTGGGACGGCTGCTCGGAGATGGATCCCCAGTCCCAGGGGCTGCCGGCCAGCAGAGGGAACCCATTGGCCCCCTAGCCGGTGTGGGAGGGTAAGGCCATGGCAGACACCTGGCAGTCACCGGTCCTGAAACGGGCCAGAGCTGAGTTGGACCAGGGAGCTGAGGGAGGGAGGTAACCCAGGAAGCCCCATCATACAGCTCCCCAGCCTTGGTCCAGGCCAGCAGGGCAGACCGGGATGCCAGCTGACTGGGAGCTGAACCAGGCAGGCAGGTGGAAGGGAAGCCCCAGGGACGCTTGGGTCAGCCGCTGGCCAGAGGCTCTGGGGAAGGTGTCCATTGGATGTGTCATCTGCCATAGATCCAAAAGATCATCAAGGAACCCGCCCCGGACAGCGGGCTGCTGGGCCTCTTCCAAGGCCAGAACCCCCTCTTCCGCTGATCTCCTGGCGCTGCCTCCAAAGGAGACCACCCTCCAGTCGTCTGCACTGGTGGAAGCGCTTTCTTCCCCCATCCCTGCATCCCAGGAGTGGTGCAGTCCACCCGGAGTCCCGCCTCCTTGGGGAGGGAGGCGGGGCTCCGCCTTTCCATTGGCCAGACGCTCCCGGAAATGCAAATGCGGCTCCTGGAAGCCGGCCGGGAGTTGGCTGCGAGCGCCGCGGGGGCGGGGCTCGGCCCGGGGCCCCTGCACGGGGCGGGAAGGGAGGGGCAGGTGGGGAAGGGGCCGACTGCGAGACCCGATCTCGCAGAATAAACGCTGCTGTGGCCGTGGACCGCACCATTCTTGGGCTGGGCGGGGGTGTCCCGGGGGCGACCGGGGGTCCCCGCAGGTGGGGAGGGGGCGGCGCCTAGGCTGGGCCGAGAGCCGGCGGCCACAGCTGCACCGAGGAGCGCCGCCGGCCGGGGTCGCCCGACTCGCTCCGGCCGCCCCCGGCGCCGCGCGCGCGCCCAGCCCCGCGGGCTCGCAGCCGCTCCGCCGCCGCCCCCGACTCCCCCAGCGGCCCGCAGCCGGAAAGCGAGGTGAGCGCGACCGCACCCCGGTTGCAGGAGGGTGGGGGAAACTGAGGCACGGGGATGCGGAGAAGGGGAGGAGGCGTGTGGACGGACGCAAGGATGGACAGCTGCTGGAGCGCGCAGACTGCGCTTCCTCGAAGGCAGGGTCCGAAGGCCAGCACGGGGCGCCGAGGTTTCTGCAGCCCCCCTCGGAAGGCTGGGAGTTGGAGCTCCGCGACCCCCAGCCCTTGCTGCGTCCCTAGCCTGGGGGGTCCCAGGGATGCAGGTGTCAGAGACCCCCTCTCATGGGCCAGGCCGCCCCGCCTCGGGCAGGTAGCGCACCCCCAACGCCGACCCTGCGCGCCCAGGCCCCCTTCCCCCGGGAGCCCCTGGGCCCAGGCGTTGGCACCCCCAGCCCCCGCCTTCCGGATGCAGGTGTCGCCCCCCAGCCCGCTGCACAGCGTCTCGGAGGCCGCTCTCGAGTCGCCATGGCAACGGGAATCTATTTTGCGCTGGGAACACGCAGCTCCCGCCGCAGCGCCCCCGCCCCCACCGGGCGGAGCGAGACGGGGGTCGGGTCGGGGGCGTGGGGTCCGCGCCGGGTTGTGGGGGGCCATTCGGGTGTACAGCGGAGTGCAGACACCAAAACCCTAAGTCTTGGCCGCACAGGGAGCACAGAGCCCCCGGCCGGAGTCCGAGAGCAGCTGCCCATGGAGCCGGGCAGGGGGCCTGGGGAGGGGTGCTCAGGCCCAAGATGCAGGCTCTCCTCCTTCCCCTCCCAGCCCAGGGCAGCAGCCTCCGCATCTCCACGTGCCGCCGCCCCCGGGCCCGCCCCTTCCTCTTCTGCGCTCCCGCACCTGCTGCGGGAATTCTGCGGGCTCAGACCCCGCGCCCCCACCCCCCACACACAGGACTGCCGCCGGACCTGCTGCATCTCCCTCCCTGGGTCTCTGCACCTCCTCTCTCTCTTCCTCCCTCTGCCCTGTCTTACCCACACCCCTGCCTGCCCCCGCACAGGGTCTCGGTCTCCTACCCCCCAGTCTGGTCTCCCCTCTCCTCTTCCTCTGGGTCTCCCTGCTTGGACATCAGCACCTGGACACCTTCCTGCTGCCATTCTCGCCCAGCGCACAGGATTAGGGTTGCACAGGGCTGGGCAGTGGCCCGGTGCAGGCCGGGCCCCCTCTCTGCTTCCCCCTGGTATCTGTGCTGAGCTCAGGTGGCTGTGGAACCAGGAACTGGGGCTCCTGAGCTGTGGAGGCAGGAAGGGTGTGGGGGTGCCAAGGCTGCTCCCGGACTCCCCAGGGCAGAATGAGGTGGCCTGTGTCAGGTGGCTGTGTGTGATGGGAGGCTGGGAGAAAAACCCCACGGGCTCTCATGTGTGGAGTTGGGGACCTCCTCTGGGCGTCCTGTGCTGTTGGTGTGGCTGGGCATGGCTCTGTGCCAGGCCAGGGCTGGGCCCATCCCAGCCTATGCTTGTGGTCAGCCTGTGTGTACTGGGTGTGTGTCTCTCTGGCCTTGGGGGCCACATCCCCAGCGCTGTCAGGGGTCATGTTCCCCAAGGCGTGCACACCTGTGTGGTGGAGCAATGCAACAGGCTTCTGTTGGTGAGAGGAGAGCCACTCGGTCGATCCCGGCCCCCCAGCGATGCAGTGATGCTTGGCAGGTGCACGGCACTCTCGTGAGCATGTCACTCCGTGCTGGGATGTGTCTGTGTGCGGGTGGACTCTGTCCTACTGGCAGTGAGGCCTGGACACCCAAGGGCAGGGCCTCCGTGCAGCGAGAGGCTCGCACAGATGATGGGACCTTCCCCTTGGAGCAAGGAAGGAAGAGGTGGAGGAACACCCAGCAAGTACTGAGTACCTAGTATGTGTCACGGGCAGGGAAGGCACACGATAGGGTCACGTCCAGTGACCTGGCAGGGGGAGGGAGGCCGTGAAGACTCCTGGAGCAACAGCTGAGGGCTGCAGCGTGACCCCGCTGCAGCGGCCAGGACAGTGAGCGACACCTACATAAGGGAGGGGAGCAGCCAGGCCGGGGCTGCTGGCTCGGGTGTGGACCTCCACCCCGACAGGGCAGCAGCTGATGCTGAACCAGGCACTGTGCAGCCCTGGAACGCAGGGGCCCCAAGTGCTGTCTCAGCAGCCGTGCCAAACACCCAACCATTTTTCTTAATGGTGGGAAAACACGTACGGCATTCATTATCTAACCACTGTGAAAAACCATCTGTTTAATGCATTTGTTTGGGAGACGAGGACCTGTCCGCTGGTTCACTCCACCGAGGGCCACGGGGAAGGTGAGGGCTGGGTGGGAAGAGGAAGTGACGTGACTCAGCAGCCTCCCGTTTTCATTACGACACGTAGCCACCCCCGCTATCTACTTCCAGAACAGTCTGTGCCCCCCCCCCCCGCAGGGGCCACGAGGAAGGGGGCTCTCGGACTCCATGACATCTGAGACATTTTGGGAGGGGGGATTCTGCGTTCCACTGCCCTGGCCTGGGGAGGGGGCGATGGCAGGGGTTGTGAGACCCAGGTGGGGTGACTCCAGCAGGAGCTGGGAGGAGTGGAGGCCCCCTGCAGGTGTCAGCCTCCAGGCCCAGTCCCCATCCCGCCGGCCACCCGTCTCCCACGGCTCCCACCTCCCCACAGTGGTCTGTGAGATGTGGCACCCGTGTCTGCACCCAATGCCCCTCTCCCCCGACCAGAGCATGGGGCCAGAAGTTGGTGACGGGCATGTCACAGCAACCCATGTCCTGTGGGCAGCTCTCTGGGGTCACTGCCCTGCAGAAGGGAGAGTAGGGGCAGGGGCGGGGGCCACCCAGAGCCCACTCCAAGTCACTCAGCTGTGGCTCCCCCTCCCAGACCTGAGGCCAGCTACCCTTGGCCCTCTCCCTCCCCTGCTGCGTCCAGTGCAGGGTGGGTGGGGCCTGGGTGTATAATTGCTATAGCAATGCTGGCTGCCACTCCATGCTCTGAGAGGCTGGCTGGGCCTCCCACGCCGCCCAGTGACAGCAGAGGCAGGCGGGCACTTCCTTGTGTCCCCTGGGGGAGCAGCCAAGGGGTTACAGGTGACTGCTACCTGCCCTTATGTGGTCACTGCCCCATCTTCCCTGCACTGACACACAGGAGCCTGAGGTAGGGGACAGGCCACCCTGGGAGACACTGTAGCCCCTGACTGGGAGAGTGTGTGACAGGCTGACCCCGGAGCCTTCAACTCTGGAATCTGAACTGCAAGAAATAGGCCCTGGGCCACTTGGCGGGAGGGGCTGCTGCCTGGGAACAAAGTCAGACTAGCCCCCAAAGACGGCCAGGACCCTGGTGGGTCTGCTCCACCACCGGCAGGTGCACAAACTCTGCGTCTCAACTTGGATCTCCTCTCTCTCTCTCTCTCCCCTCCCTCACCTTCTTCACTCTCCCTCTCCCATCCGATGCCTGACCCCCTCCCATCCGATGCCTCCCCCATCTGTCTGCCTTCCTCCCGGCCCCCCGCCATCACACCCACCCCTGCTTCATCTTCCCTCCTCCGTGTCCTCCACGGCTTCTGGCCTTCCTCCTGGGTCCATCGCTCACCTTGGCCCTTTCTCGCTGTCCCTGGCTCTTGCACTGCCACGTGCGGGCGCCTCTCCCCTGTGCCTTCGTTCTCCATCCCTCCGCCCTCCGCTCCACTCCTCCGTTCTCCTGCTCACCTACCCAGCCTGGCGACCAGTCCAACCTCCTGCACTCGCCATGCCGGCCCTGCTGTTCCTCGGGACCCTGGTGCTCCTGGCCTCCGCCTCGGGTCAGGCCGGGGCGCGCCCGTCCAACGCCACTGGCGCCGAGCCGCCGGGCCCGCTGCCCGCGCTGCTGGCGCACCTGCGACGCCTGACCGGGGCGCTGACAGGTGGCGGCGGGGCCGCGGCCGCGACGGGTGTCAATGGCACAAGGAGCAGCCCCGCGGGCAGCCCCGGCGCAGCGGCCCGGGCGCCGCCTCCAGCCGAGCTGTGCCACGGCTACTACGACGTCATGGGCCAGTACGACGCCACCTTCAACTGCAGCACCGGCTCCTACCGCTTCTGCTGCGGCACCTGCCACTACCGCTTCTGCTGCGAGCACCGCCACATGCGCCTGGCGCAGGCCTCCTGCTCAAACTACGACACGCCGCGCTGGGCCACCACGCCGCCGCCGCTAGCCGGGGGCGCCGGGGGCGTTGGGGGTGCGGGTGGGGGACTGGGGCCCGGCCAGGCTGGGTGGCTGGAAGGGGGCCGGACGGGGGGCGCCGGGGTGCGTGGGGGCGAGGGCCCCGGGGGCAGCACGGCCTACGTGGTGTGCGGGGTCATCAGCTTCGCCCTGGCCGTGGGCGTTGGAGCCAAAGTGGCCTTCAGCAAGGCGTCGCGCGCACCCAGGGCGCACCGGGAGATCAACGTGCCCAGGTATGTGTGCGTTGGGGCGGGACCTGGGCGCGGGAGGTGGGGTCCTCGGGGAGGGCGGGACTCCCAGAGGACAGAGCTGGGCAGGCCTGAGCCGCTGGCCATGAGGGAAGCCCCCTGCCTCAGTTTCCCTGTGAGGCTGAGGGGGCGTCCCCGTCACCCGGGGTTGTGGTGAGAGTTTAACTGCATTGATTCTTGCAGAGTCCTGGCTCAATGCTCACAAAACGTTAGCGGCGGAGTCAGTAAGCCCACCAACAGGTGCGCGAGGCGGCGGCTGCTGCGGATCAGGGGCTGCGCAGGGAGGGGCGGGCTGCGCAGGGAGGGGCGGTGTGCTCCCGGCCAGGGCACAGCACGTGCGGCACGTGCAGTGAGGCTAACCCTAACCCTGCGATGGAACGAGGGCGGTGAGCGAGGGGGACGAGGAGCGCAGGAGGGGCAGGCGGGGGCCCGGTTTGCACCAGGTGCGGTGTGCGTACAGGTGTGGGGAGCGGCGGCTTTAAGCACAGCCTGGACCAAAGCCAAAAGGCCTGGGCGGTGGGGTATGGGGAGTCCCAGGGCCAGGGTGAGGGGCGTGGAGGGGGCAAAGGAGCCAAGATAGTGGGCGCTTCCGGCTGCGAGTGTGGAGTGTGGAGTGTGGAGGGACAGTGCAGAACCAGGACAGGTGCAGTGGAGGGGGCGTGGCCACTGGCGCAAGCTGACTTAAGGGGGTCGGAGTCTCCTCAAGGGAGAGGCCAGATACACCAGCCGAGCCCGGCCGGCTGCTGACCATCCGTCTGTGGTCTCCAGGGCTCTGGTGGACATTCTGAGGCACCAGGCGGGGCCCGGGACCCGCCCAGACCGGGCCCGAAGCAGCTCCCTGACCCCGGGGATCGGGGTTGCTGACAGCATGCCCCCCAGGACGCCCAAGAACCTCTACAGCACGGTGAAACCCTCCGACCTTGGTGAGTGGGCCTCCGCCTCTGGCCACACCCTCCCCTGGCAGCCCTGCCTCCCGCTGCCCAGGACCGGTGCTGGACAGAAGTGAGAGGGAGAAGCATCCCCGGGATGGGGCATGGCGGGGGACGGGGTCAGGGAGCGGGGACAAGAGCTCTGTGCTGTGGGAAGACAAGGCACAAGCAGGTAAGACCGTCCTGTGGCAGGCCCACCAGGGCTGGCTGGGGCATGGGGATCCGTGTGGCAGGGGGATCCGTGTGGCAGGGGGATCCGTGTGGGAGCGGGGAACGGACATGAGCTGAAGATACTGACCAGCCTCTGTGGTCACTTCCATGTGACTGACCTGTGGGGGCTGGTAAGCCAGGGGAGAAGGCAGCTGCGTTGCTACAGCTGACCTTGGAACAGTTCGGTCCAAGGCTGAAATCTGAATCCACGATCGGAGAAGGAAAGGCCGGGCCAGAGCAGGCAGTCGGGGGTCAGGTAGGGCCAGGTGGGGAGAGGCAGCAGAACTCTGCCCGGGGCTGGGGTGCTCACTTCCCTGGCAGGAGCCTTACCCACCCTCTGTCCTTGCGGTGCCCAGCCTCAGCTCCTCAGGTGGCCATCATGGTCAGCTCCAGGCTCTGATGAGGCCCCGAGTGTGAAGGACCAGGCTGAGGGGCCCCCCAGGGTCCCTCTGAGACATGAGGGTGGGAGCACTCTCTACCAGTGATGACTCCCCCCTTCCCGGTCCCCCCAGACAACCTGCACACGCTGCCATGCTGGGCACGGACCAGGGAGCAGGACTCCTCTCCCTGGCCAGGTGCCAGGGCGGCCTGGTCTTCATGACCCCCATGGTCTGAGGGTGCCCAGGTTAGTGCTGAAAGCACGACCGGGCGCTGGTGCACTGACCCATGCCTGTGGCCCCATCCTGGAGGGAGCTTGAGGTGCTGAAGAGAGAGAGGGTTCCCAAAGAGGGCGCCACTCACCCGAATACCCACAGCAGCTGGGCTGAGTCCGAGACTCCCTCATGTGGCAGGGTCCCCGTGACTTGAGTCACCACTGCCACCCCTGGGATCTGCCATCAGCAGGAAGCTGCTACTGTGGGAATTTCCTGTGGGAATTCTGAAGGATTGTGAAGCCAAATGTCTAACACTCAGAGGGGCTGGGCTGGACCCCTGGATGTGAGGGAGGAGGGTCTGGGCTGGACCCCTGGGTGTGAGGGAGGAGGGTCTGGGCTGGACCCCTGGGTGTGAGGGAGGAGGGGCTGGACCCCTGGGTGTGAGGGAGGAGGGTCTGGGCTGGACCCCTGGGTGTGAGGGAGGAAGGCTGGGCTGGACCCCTGGGTGTGAGGGAGGAGTGGCTGGACCCCTGGGTGTGAGGGAGGAGGGGCTGGACCCCTGGATGTGAGGGAGGAGGGTCTGGGCTGGACCCCTGGTGTGAGGGAGGAGGGGCTGGACCCCTGGGTGTGAGGGAGGAGGGTCTGGGCTGGACCCCTGGGTGTGAGGGAGGAAGGCTGGGCTGGACCCCTGGGTGTGAGGGAGGAGTGGCTGGACCCCTGGGTGTGAGGGAGGAGGGGCTGGACCCCTGGATGTGAGGGAGGAGGGTCTGGGCTGGACCCCTGGGTGTGAGGGAGGAGGGGCTGGACCCCTGGGTGTGAGGGAGGAGGGTCTGGGCTGGACCCCTGGGTGTGAGGGAGGAAGGCTGGGCTGGACCCCTGGGTGTGAGGAGGAGGGGCTGGGCTGGACCCCTGGTCTGAAGGAAGGGGGGCTGGACCCCTGGCTGGGGGTGGTGGACGGGGGAATGACCTGCTCTCCCCCACAGACTGGCGGGCCATGCCCCCACCCAGCCCCTCCTTGCACTACTCCACACTGTCCTGCTCCCGGTCCTTCCACAACCTGTCGCACCTGCCCCCGTCCTACGAGGCCGCCGTGAAGTCGGAGCTGAGCCGGTACTCCTCCCTCAAGCGGCTGGGTGAGTCCCGGGGCGAGCGGTCAGGACCGTGGACAGGGCCGGAAAAGGGTCCGTCTCCGGGTTTCCTCCAGCAGCTTCTTTAGAGCTAGCTGAGGTGACTGCTGGGTCAGAATCCCCTGGCGGGTGTTTTCTGACTTGACCTTGGCTGAACTTGAGCTGCTTCTCTGGCTGTGTCCAGGCGTGGCCATCTGGCCCCTGCTGGCTGGTGCTGCCAGCTCCCACCCTCCCACACAGGCAGGTCCCACCTGCTCCCTGCTAAGGCCCTTGGGAAAGCAGTGGAGGATGGCCGCGTGCTTGGGACCCTGCACCTGCACGGGAGCCCCAGAAAAGCTGTTGCAGCCACTTGGGGAATGAATGAGTGGATAGAAGGTGTCTTCATTTCTCCTTCCCTCCTCGTAACTCTCAAATAAATACACAAATAATTTTTTGTTTTTGAGGTGAGGAGATGCAGAGAGAGAGAGAAACAAAAAAATAAAAACAAAAAACACTCTCCAAATGTCTGCAACAGCCGGGCCGGTCAAGCCCAAGACACGAGCCTGGACGCCAACCTGCGGGTGCCAGGGACCCAGCAACCTGCACCCTCACCGCCACTGCCTCCCGGAGGCAGGACTCGAACCCCAGGCCCTCCGCACAGCGCGTGGCCTCCCGAGCACACGTGTTGTATTTTGGTGCCGCGAAAGCTCTGGGAGCTGTGCTGACAGCTCGCGTGGGGGTTCTGGGCAAGAGGGGAGGCAGGACACCCACCTTGGTGGCCTTCTGCCTTCTCCCCGCAGCCGAGAAGGACCTGGACGAGGCCTACCTGAACCGCAGGCACCTGGCTGAGATACCCCGAGGGACGCTGCCGCTGCACGCACTGCGGCGGCCGGGCACCGGGGGCGGCTACCGCACGGACGCCTGGGGCAGCCCGGAGGAGCTGGGCCTGGCACCCGCGCCTAACCCGCGGCGGGTCATGTCCCAGGAACACCTGCTGGGCGACGGCCGCGCCTCGCGCTACGAGTTCACACTGCCGCGCGCGCGCCTCGTGTCGCAGGAGCACCTGCTGCTCTCGTCGCCCGAGGCCCTGCGCCAGAGTCGCGAACACCTGCTGTCGCCTCCGCGGAGCCCCGCGCTGCCCCCCGAGCCCACCGCCCGGGCCAGCCTGGCCGCCTCGCACACCAACCTGCTTCTGGGGCCTGGGGGGCCTCCCACGCCGCTTCACGGGCTGCCGCCGCCGGGCCTGCACGCTCACCACCATCACGCCCTGCACGGCTCGCCTCAGCCCGCCTGGATGGCGGACGCCGGCGGGGGTGGGGGCACGCTGGCCCGCAGGCCGCCCTTCCAGCGCCAGGGCACGCTGGAGCAGCTGCAGTTCATCCCAGGCCACCACCTGCCCCAGCACCTGCGCACCGCCAGCAAGAACGAGGTGACGGTCTGAGGCCGGGCGGGGGCTGGGGGCTGCGGCCTCCCGGGCCCCCATCCCCGGAACCCAGAACTCGGGCGCGCACGGCCCAGGGCGCTTGAGGAAGCAAAGCCGCCTTCCGGGGACGTGCCCCTCCTCTCCCGTCACGTCACTGTTGGAGCCAAGGCTGCCTTCCCATGATGTCATCACAGAGGAAGGGGCCCACCCATGGGGTCATCGCTAGCGAAATGGCTGTGCTGTCACTTCATCACAGGCGCAACCTCCTTCCCATGAGGTCATCACAGAGGAAGGGGCCTGCCTGTGAGGGTCTGCCCGTGACATCGCCACGGCCTTCCTCCCTGCCGTGGCCCTGCAGACACAAGGCTCACCTTGGGATGGCACCTGTAGCCCCCAGGCCTCGTCCCCAAGGGGAAATCTCCCCCTGCTCCGTCCTCCCAGTCATCCCCCGGGACCCCTTCCCACCGTGGCCGTGGCGCTCCGTCTCGTCCCTGACAGCCAGGTCCAGGCGGAGTCCCTTCTGCTCGGTCACTGCAGACACCACCTGCTCAGAGAGGGTGTCAGGAGGCCCCTCCCTCGTATTGCCAGTGTGAGAAAGCACGGCCCGCAGAGGGCAGGGACCCAGGAAGTGCCCTGAGAACCCCTCCAGAGGGTCGGGGTGGCCAGCATTGGGGGACGTCACCAGTTACTGCCTCGTGTCCCCAGGATCTCCGCCTGACCCCCTCCAGGAAGCTGGGGCCTTTGGTCCAGCGCAGTGCAGTGACTAATGGGGTGCCCTGCTACATGAAGCCACTCTGGCCCATGAGGCTCCAGCAGCCCTCAACCTGCATCACTCCTTTCTGCCATATTGGAGACATCACCTCCAGCAGCAGACCCTGGCCCCCGGGGGGTGTGTGCCATCACCTCCTGCAGCAGACCCTGGCCTCCTGGGGGGGACGGAGGGGGGACGGAGGGGGGGGTGTGCCAGCGGCCTCGTTGACATCCTAGTCAGTACCACAGTCTGTCCTTCCTCTCTGCCTAGCGCCTGGGGTCGAGTGCTAACTACGCCACTGCCTGGCACCCACTGCGCTCGGCTCTGGGCCTCTTGCAGGGTGCACCGTGACTCAGAACCTCACCTTCCCCCGGCGTCTCCCACAGCCGTGATGTCACCGTCTTCCAGTTCCCAGTCATCACGCAGTGTGCGCTGCAGCTGGTGGAGCCAGCACTTCCCGGCTTCCACCAGGACCAGCGATGTCATTACCCAGAACCCACTGTCTCCCGCAATCCCCCAGATCCTCTGCACTCCCGTGTCTGGATGTCCCAGGGTCCACCAGGACCCAGTTCAGCCCATCTGGGCTCTGAGAGCCAGTGACTTCCTCACCCCAAGGACCTAGGACACCTGCCATGGAATGACAGCCATGGTGCCAGCACGTCCCAGGGTCCATCTCCTTATGGTGTCACACCCAGAACCCACTCCCACCATGCCATCACTTGCCAGGATCCACATCACCATCGGGTGATCTGCCATCACCCCCTGGGCCCCAGCTTCTGGACTGTCCCCTGGGGCTGCCCGGCGCTTACAACCATTCCCTTAGGGAATGAGCACAACACCCACAGAGTGGACGAGGGTGGGTCAGCTGTCCCCTCTCTGATGACCCCTCCCACTCTGGCCCTTCCTGATGTCACTGCCTCACTCCAGGCTGCTGGACTGGTTCCCAGTCATACCCTGGTGAGGTCATCCAGGCCATTCTGATATCGCTGCCCCTGGCCCGGCCACCTGTTCGGTTACAGGGTCAACCCAGCCACCTCTCATGTGCTCCAGAGGGAGGCTTTCCAGCCTTGGCCGATGCCTCTGCCCCAGGCCCTCAGAGACCCTGGGCCTGCAGGAAGGACGGACAGCTCACACCCCTCTGGGGGCCTCCCTGACCCCTGGACTGGCCCAGGCACAGCCGTGAGCAGCCCCTGTTAGTGCCTGGGGCCCAGAGGCGCACCACCACCTACCCCAGAACCGTCTGTACATAGCCATGCTGTGGGGTGGCCGCTCCCCTACTCTTAAAGGGCTACACGCCCCTGCCCTAGCCTCCAGGCAAGGTGGGGGCCTCTCCCTCCCCCAGGCCACCCCTCCCTCTCATGTCTTCCTGTTACTGGCACTGTAGTTCATCCTGTCTTGTTGGGGGCCCTGCCCCACCCCACGCTAGTTCCACCCCAGTGCTTACAGCCTCGCCCCGGAGCCCCCTTAGCCAGGGCGCTAGGCACAGGTGATCCTCTGCCCCCAAGGGGAGCCAGGGGCCCTGGCTGCTCACCACCCCACCCAGCGCTAGGCTTTTTCCAGCCTCCCGGTTGAGGGCTCACTGCCTTCTGGCCTTCTTATGCCCCTCCATTTATTCTTGCAGTCTGGGCTCCTCGTCCCTGGAGACCCAGCCCAGCCCTCACTCAGCATAGAATGCCTGAGCCCGGGGCCTGAAGCCCCTCGCTCAAACAAGCCATAGTGCGAGAGGTCTGAGGGTGGAGCCACACGCAGGTGCCACCCCTGTGCCCCCTCTATGCTTCCAGAGCTGGGCCCTGCCTCTTAACACACAAGCCACCGTGCAGCACACACGCGGGAGCCCCCTTGCACTCTCTCTGGCTGAAAGGCCATGGTGGAGCTGGGGGGTTACAGAGAGAGGAAGACCCTCCACAGCCCTGGCCCCTCTCCCAGCTTGCCCCTGGTGAGGACAGAGGAGGAGCCACTACAACTTGGCATTTTTTGGAATAAACAGATGTTTTCCTGACTTACCACTCCAAGGTTTACTGCCAGTCCCAGCAGATGCAGGTCTACTCAGGCTGCAAGCTGGCTGTCCCTGAACTGAGCAAGACAGGGTGGGGTAGGGGCTCCAGACCCCTCCCAAGGGGTCCCCATTGCAAACTCTGAGCTGGTGCACACAGGTTCCCAAGGGAGCCCCCACTCTGAGCTGGTGCACACAGGTTCCAGAGGACCTCCTTGGCTCCTTGCCTCCTTGGCAAGCCCCGGATTCCTGGACTGAATGTCATCCAGCTTCATGGGCTGTGGACGGCGCTGGGCCGCAGAAGCCTCCCGTCTGGGGCTGGTGGAGACTCAGAGTCCCCGGCCTCGCCCCATGTCTGCACACTGTCTACTCTGCACCCACATAGCTCCTTTCCCAGAAGACACTGGCTGCACCATGGGGAGCCTCCTAACATCCTCACCCCAGCCGCTCGTCTGCACAGATGCTTTTTCCTAATAAGGTCATAGCCACAGGTGTTGGGGGCTGGGACTTCAGTGCAGGGGGGCAGGAGGGGGGACTCCCATCCGCTGATGCTCTCCCATGCCCTCAACGGCTGGGAGTGGACCCGGCAGAGCCGGCAGCTGGGAACTCAAGCCGTCTCGTCCATGGGTGGCGAGACCTGAGCACTTGACCCACAGCAGCTGTCCTTGGACCCAGGCACTGCAATGAGAGGTGTGCGTGTCCCAAGCTGGACCTTCATGTGAAGCTTCAGTTTTTGTGGTCATCAGCTGGCATCCCTGCCCACTCCGTCTCTCCCATCGAGGGTGCTTGTTGGGAGGGCAGGCAGCTGGTCTTCTTCGCACCAATTCTCCTCTAGGGTGCGCCCAAGAGCTCCCCTGCCCATTATTCAGCAAAGAACAGGAGAGGGATGCCAGGTGAAAAGGTGGGAAATCGTGGGGCCTGGGAGTGCCATGGCAGCGGCCACACAGTCCCCGGGCAGGCGTCCAGGGCCTGGTCTGGTCTGACTTCCCGTGGTGCCAGCTCAACCCAGCAGCGTGGACAGCATGGAATAGCCTGCTCCGGAGAAGGCTCTCGGTTCTCCCACAAAACCCTCTGGTGTGCCTGTCCCTAGAGGCATGCACCCCAAACAGTACAGTGACAGCCGTGGGAGAGCCCAGGGATGCCCCCAGGACCCCTAGCTCAGCAGCACACGCTGTTGGCACCTGCTGAGCTTCCAAGCAGGATGAATAAATGCCCTCCTTGACTGCCCTACAGGCCGCACTGTCCCTGCCATCCCCAGTGCCCACTAGGCAAGCTTGGCATGTCACACGTGCAGGCGACAGACAGTGAGCACACAGCTCAGTGTGGAGCAGCCTCCGGGGCGTGCACGTCACAGAGCCCTGGCGGGGCAGGGAAGGCGGCACCGTCCAGCCAGGAGCCCAAGGGCAGCTGCTCGCTTCCCTTGGCCTCGGCCCCAAGCACTGGCCGCGCTGCAGGCGACCTGGTGCCCTGGACGACATCCAGCGGGCACCCCGGCCAATCCCCAAGGTGCCCTGTGAGAAGCTCTGCCCTGTCCCCTGAACGGGCGGGGCCCGGGGAGCTGCCACGAGGCAGCTGGCATGTGGATGACAGAACTGGGCGAACGCCCGTCCGTTCTCCAGTAGCAAGTGCATCAGTGTTTGTTTTTCTGTTAATGTTTTGGTTTAAAGGTGGATGGTTGTAGCTGGAATTGCAGCATGGCTGGCAAAGCTCGCCCTGTGACGCGGGCATTTAAAGCTCTTTCCTGATGTTACTGGGAAAGCAGCAAAGGACGACCAGGTGAAGCTCCTGGCTCGATGGACCCAGCTCAGCCTTGGCGGCCATGTGGGGAGTTCTCTTTCAAATTCAGTCACATGTCACAGGCCCGGGCCTGGCTCGCCACTGCCCTCACTGCACAAGATGGGGGGTGATCCTCTGATGCAAACGGCAGTAGCCCCCAGCCTCCATCGCACCCCTCCTTCAGCAGGACCTCTGCCAGCCAGTGGCTCCATTCTGTGCTGCACCAGGCGAGCCAGGGACAAGCCCCAGCAGAGCTGTCCACAGCAAGCATCCAGCCCCCGCTCAGCACACGGCCCCTGAGCGGCTAGCACAGCTCTCAGCCTCACTCCACGTGCACCCACAGCGGGCAGCGCTGGGCCCAAGCCAGCAACCACCAGCTCTCTGGGTCTCCCAGACAGGTGCAGGGACCCGCTACCATCAGTTGCTGCCCTACCCCTACCCTGGCACATGAGCAGGGTGCCGGATGCCCGCGCCAGCAGCTCACCCTGGTGTGCCCAA